AAAGGTATCCTGAATAAAGGTATCCTGAATAAAGGTATCCTGAATAAAGGTATCCTGAATAAAGGTATCCTGAATAAAGGTATTCTAAATAAAGGTATCCTGAATAAAGGTATCCTGAATAAAGGTATCCTGCATAAAGGTATCCTGCATAAAGGTATTATAAATAAAGGTATCCTGAATAAAGTTATCCTAAATAAAGGTATCCTAAATAAAGATATTCTAAATAAAGGTATCCTAAATAAAGAAAAAAAAGGTATTCTAATGAAAGTATCCTAAATAAAGGTATCCTAAAATTGATATATCATTCCTAAATAAAGGTATCCTAAAATGGACATATCCTAAATCAAGATATCCTAAATAAAAATATCCTGAAATTGACATATCCTAATTAAAGGTATCCTAAAATTGACATATCTTAAATAACGGTATCCTCTAATTTTGAGAAAATCGGAGACATTGACCACAATTAAATAATTGTGCTGTAGAACATGTCAAATTAGTGGGAAGGCAAAATTTCATATTTTAAAATTGTATAATGTAATTTTAAAATTAATTACTTGAAATTTGATGTTTAGACTGCAATTAACAATTTAGCTACAAAATTGTGAACATGTGTTTTTGCTTTTTTAACTTTTGACTTATATTACTCACTTTGTTTTTATATTGAAATCTAAAATCTATTTTGATACTGGAGATTTAGGATATTCTAAGATAAATTAGTGGGCTCATGCTTAAAAGTTAATGACCATTAACATATTTCACCCGTTAAAGGGACCGTTCACTTATTTTGGAAATTTCATGGTAAACTAATTAGCCAATTAGCTATTCAATAATATTATTAGTCTTACTTTTCAAAGATATCTATTACCGGAGAAAAGGCCGATTTATTGTTTAGTATTCCAGTGGAAAGGTATGATACCTTTACATAGACACTATTTACACGTTTTTTTGAGAAGCACTAATAACAACCAAAAATCTAAAATCATCATACTTCAATGACAACATCAGCAATTATTTGATAAAATATAAAAACTTTTGCTTTTAGAACTAGCAAGATATTAACGTTTTTCGTGTTCAAACATGATTTAACAAATTAACACGTTACAAAGACGACTTTCTCCATGACTATTTCTAAAAGCATCAATTTGTGTCTACAAAGGTGCCGCGTTCCTTGACCTTTCCACTGGAATTATGAATGATAAATCGTCTTTTCTCAGGCCACAGTTGTCTTTGAAAAGAGTTTTCTGTTTATCACTGCATCACGTGAATTTATTTACCCGAATAAAATCAGTATAATGAAGACGACTTTTCTAATTAAATTTAGATTTCTAACAAGCTTTTTTCAATTTACAACTTAACAAGGAAACAAAGAGAAGCTGTTAATTAACAGCTTCTCCTAGAGAAGCTGTTAATTCACAGCTTCTCTTTGTTTACGTGTTAGTGTTTTTCCATGCTGTTTGACAGCTTGGTAGACATCAAAATTGAAATTGAAAGTCGTCTTCATTTTATCAACATATAAGACGGCTCCTGTATTACGTCAATTATCTTACCTGGATGAACCCCTTGCCAACCATGCTCTCATTGCAGATGTTGCAGAAGAAGCACTCGTTGTGCCAGGCCAGGGTCTCAAAAGCAACAAACTTGGTGCTCCCTAACCCACCCTTTCCTACAGGTAAAAATAGTTACGTGAAAAATATCTTTAAAGAGGGGCATTTATAAGTCATTTCAAGTGACCTTTCTTGAGAGGGGGGGAGTGCAGAAGTCCTAAATTGGTAATCACCGCCACCCAAACGTGTTTTGCGGTGTGCGCGCTCCTCCATTGGTAATCAGGCTGTATACGTAATTTCAAGTGACCATCCATGCAAAGGTTGCAGTCCCCGATTTACAACGGTAACCTTCAGAACTTTTATATGATCAAAAATTTTGAAAATACTGTCTTTTTTCTATAGGTTTGAAACTGTTAAATTCTGATAATTCGTTACGCATTTCTGCAGTGGAAATGCACATGTCACTTTTGCAGAGAAAATAATCAGTTTAAAAAATGTTAAAGATTGATATATAATTCATACTTGATCAAGCAAAGCTTTGAAAGAGTACAGTTGTGAATCGGACATTGGCATCTTTGCATGAAGGGGTCACTTGAAATTATATGTACATTCCCTTTAACGGATATAGTTAACAAATCTTTCTGGTTCTATAGTTTAACCTCACAATCACATTCTAAAAACATGTCCTTCCATTAAATTGAAAGTAAAAATTTTACAAAGAAGCATAAGTTACTCAAAACCAATGAAATGAAGATTTCAAGTAAATTTTGTTTTAATTTTAATATTAAAGATCTAAAGATTTTGATATTTGAATTATATAAGTTTAACCCAGAACTAGGAAGATATTGTATAAACATTCATAAAATGTCGTTTTGAGAATTTTTCAATGGGTTTTATACAGGGTGTCCCACGAAACATGACAGTTGGTGAATAGTTTAGAATGTCTTCTTCCAGAATTTGTTAAGTTGTTTGATATCAATTAGACAATAATACAAATATTGCGTGGGAGTCATGTTCTAGTAAAATTGGTTTCAAAGTAAAATATGTTTCAGAAAAAGATTATTTAACGAAATAAACTGCAAAAAGTCTTTAAAATCTAATAAAGTATATGAAAGACGACTTTCATAACTCTTTACCAACTGTCATGTTTCGTGGGACACCCTATACTAAATTATACCTAAGTCTCAGTAACTATAAAATAAATAAATACTACTAATAAAAAGGGGACAGTTTTAAAGAGCTATACATATAATTATTTACTTAGAAATCATAATATTTTCTGGATTAATCGTCATAAGCAGGTAAGTTTAAGAAAACAGCGTTTAATATCTATATGATTTATATACTATACAAATGCTTTCAGAATAAAGGGGTGACAAATTACAAATTTCTTAGGAAAGTTTATGTTTAGAAGATTCTATTTATATAGAAGATTCACTTTAGACAGACGACTTACATATAGAAGATTCTCTTTAGACAGACGACTTGCATATAGAAGATTCTCTTTAGACAGACGACTTACATATAGAAGATTCTCTTTAGACAGACGACTTGCATTTAGAAGATTCTCTTGGGACGGAAGATACTGTATATACAGAAGATTCTCTTGGGATGGACGAAACTGTATATATAGAAGATTCTCTTTAGACAGACGACTTGCATATAAAAGATTCTCTTTAGACAGACGACTTGCATATAGAAGATTCTCTTGGGACGGAAGATACTGTATATACAGAAGATTCTCTTGGGATGGACGAAATTGTATATACAGAAGATTCTCTTGGGATAGACGAAACTGTATATACAGAAGATTCTCTTTAGACAGACGACTTGCATATAGAAGATTCTCTTTAGACAGACGACTTGCATATAGAAGATTCTCTTGGGAGGGAAGATACTATATATACAGAAGATACTCTTGGGACGGAAGATACTGTATATACAGAAGATTCTCTTGGGACGGAAGATACTGTATATACAGAAGATTCTCTTGGGACGGAAGATACTGTATACAGAAGACACTCTTGGGACGGAAGATACTGTTTACAGAAGATACTCTTCGGACGGAAGATACTGTAAATACAGAAGATACTCTTGGAACGGAAGATACTGAATATACAGAAGATTCTCTTTAGACGGACGATACTGTATATACAGAAGATACTCTTGGAACGGAAGATACTGTTTACAGAAGATGCTTTTAGGACGGAAGATACTGTATATATACAGAAGATTCTCTTTAGACGGACGATACTGTATGTACAGAAGATTCTCTTAGGACGGAAGATACTGTATATACAGAAGATACTCATGGAAGATACTGTATACAGAAGATTCTCTTTAGACAAATGATACTGTATATATAGAAGATTCTCTTGGAACGGAAGATACTGTATACAGAAGATGCTTTTAGGACGGAAGATACTTATACAGAAGATTCTCTTTAGACGGACGATACTGTATATTAAGAAGATACTCTTGGGACGGAAGATACTGTTTACAGAAGATGCTTTTAGGACGGAAGATACTTATACAGAAGATTCTCTTTAGACGGACGATACTGTATATACAGAAGATACTCTTGGGACGGAAGATACTGCTTACAGAAGATGCTTTTAGGACGGAAGATACTGTAAATACAGAAGATTCTCTTTAGACGGGCATCCTACTGCATGAACAAGATTTTCTTTAGACGGACGATACTGTATATACAGAAGACGCTTTTAGGACGGAAGATGCTGTATATACAGAAGATACTCTTGGGACGGAAGATACTTATACAGAAGATTCTCTTTAGACGGACGATACTGTATATACAGAAGATACTCTTGGGACGGAAGATACTGTTTACAGAAGATGCTTTTAGGACGGAAGATACTTATACAGAAGATTATCTTTAGACGGACGATACTGTATATATATAAGATACTCTTGAGACGGATGATACTGCTTACAGAAAATGCTTTTAGAACGGAAGATACTGTATATACAGAAGATTCTCTTTAGACGGGCACCCTACTGCATGTACAGGATTCTCTTTAGACGGACGATACTGTGTATACAGAAGATACTCTTGGGAGGGAAGATACTGTATACAGATGATTCTCTTTAGACGGACGATACTGTATATATATAAGATACTCTTGGGACGGAAGATACTGCTTACAGAAGATGCTTTTAGGACGGAAGATACTTTATATAAAGAAGATATTCTTTAGACGGGCACCCTACTGCATGTACAAGATTCTCTTTAGACGGACAAAACTGCATTTACAAGATTCTATTATTGACATCAAACTGCATATACATGATTCTCTTTGGACGGACAATATGTTGGGTTCATCTAATTATCAGAGCCCAAAACTTAAGACAGGGTATCGTTATAAAAACCAGTTTTGGAACCTGGGTTTCTTGAATGGGGTTAGGCAGTTTTGTAGATATCAATACTTTTTTTTAAATATTATTTTATTTAGTTTCTTAATATTCTCTATTTTTTTCAAATCTCATATATCAAAATTTACACAAATGTAAAGGCCTCGAAAAGAAAATTTGGGAGTTTCGTTCAACGATACTCGACATTTAAATTTCGGACTCTGATGTCCACGTGGTAAAAAATATCTGTGAAGCTTTACATACATAATTTCATAATTAACAAACCTCATGCAAACTTTTAAGTGAACAATAAATATAAAATAGAGATGTGTTAAATCTTTATTTAGAATAAGAAATAAAAAAATAAAGCATGCATGGATTCGACCCACATGCAAAACTAATATTAGTGCAGTGAAATAACTAGCAGACTCCTTGCTAATCTCTTAAAATCTCTTAAATTTGAGCAAACAGGTTTTGAGCAATAATTAGTTTCTTTTTTTTAGGGTTATTTCTTCTTATTTCTTGTAGACCGGTTATTGTTTACTGTTCCACAGTGTCGGCCATTAGCTTCTTTTTCGCGCATTCCGGGCAAACAATATCCTCGCCATCAGTTATAAATCCTTTCCCAACCATTGTCGTCTTCACAACACACAATCAATCAATCAATAGTTAAGCGAATAAATAAGGGATCTCAGGTAAGGAATTGAGTTTTTGCCGCAAATTTTAATTTATGGTTTGAAATATCTAAGGTCCAAGACATTTAAAGGCAAAGATATAGGGATAGAAAAATAGGGAAAATACTTACAAATTGTTTTAAATGCATCTAGCATGCTTAATGATTATGGGNGGGGGGGTAGACGCCGATGTCGTCGTAGTAAAGAAGCGAATCAAGCAACGTGAGGTAAATTGTCAAGGCCGATGAAGGACAAAATTAAAATGGAAAAAAAAAATAATTGCTGTCATACTGAGCGTTCTGAAATATGGTCTACTGGAGAAAATGAAGATTTCAATCAATTGAAAAAAAGTAGACAGACCACATCTTGGAAATTCCAGGATGAAATATCAAAATATTATCAAAGTTGATGCACTAACACAGCATGTTTCATTTGAAGCCAGTTTTAAAAACCTTCACTTAAATTCCCAATCTATTGCAACACCCTGCGGCTTTCCTTCAAATTAAAATAGTCAATTAAAAAAAACTAAAGATTGTTAGTTTCCTTGCAAGATGTGCAGACAAAGCAATCGTTGTGCCAGTGCCGGCCTTCGAAGGAAATAAACCTAGTGCCTCCAATCCCTGGAAACCGGTTAGTGTAGTAAATAAAGTAAATAAACAAACAAATTATCCATGCAACAATATGTCCAACAGAAAAATGAAACTGAATACTGGCCTCAAACTCTCATTTTTATAATCCCTAATCTTTACAACCCTGATGTCGCATACATAATTATTTTTAAACATGAATGTTAAAATTTGACATTTCAAAATTTTACAGAAAATATGAGTTTTTGGCGAGAAATCAGTTCAAAGGTTCGGAAATAATTCACGAAAGAGCATAATAATTTGTTATAAAATAGTAAACAAAAATTAAAAAATATAAATAAATTAGATCTTCATGCTTAAAAGACATCACGTTGCATCATGGCTGCAAAGATTATAGGAAGGAAAAAATTGGCTTTTAGATAAATAATCAGTTTAAAGGTTTAGGCACTTTAAAAAAAAGCATAATTTGTTAAGAAATAATAAAATAATGATAAAATAAATTTGATTAATTACAAAAAGTCATGCTTAGAAAGACATTACGAATAATTCAAGATGCAAAGTTAAGAATTAAAAAAAAACTTATTTCCTTTTTTGAATCTCTGTATTTGTACCTGTAATTGGCTTGCTGCAAGCTGTACAACGTTTAGAAAACAGTTCACCAAAACAGTCGGCACAGTACGGTTTATCATCCCTAAACCAGGGATTCTTATTTACCAAAATACTTGTTAATAATAAAAATAATTTATAATTGAAATAACCTACAGTGTAACCCTTAATAACGAATACATCGAAAAAATTCATCAAATGTCGTGTTCTTCACTTTCTGATAATGGAATGTTGCAGATATTTAGTTTTTAAATCAAATTATTATATGGAACTCTTTAAAACTGTTCCCGCATATTTATAGCTATTTATTTATTTTCGCAAATACTAAAATTTACGTAATATACAGGGTGTCCCACGAAACATGACAGTATGCAGGACGACTTGAATGTCGTCTTGATTTTTTATATAATTTGCTGCGTTTATTTGTCAACCTAATTTTAGAAGTAAATTTCTAGAGATAATAATCACAAAATTTCCCTTGTCCTGCCATTTCCAAAATGTGGTCTGCCTTTTTTGTGCTTTCAATATTGCCCGAGATATGAAGAATTTCGTTCAGATTTCGACAATTTTGCTTTTATTTAACAAAATTGAAATCTGAACCAAACTCTTTATATCTCAGGTAATATTGAAAGCACAAAAAACGCAGACCACTTTTTGGAAATGCCAGGGCTAAGAGAATTATGTGATAATTGTTTCAAGAATCATACATGTTAAAGTAGATAGAAGACTAAATGTCACAAATAAATTCAAATACCAAAGACGACTTTCAAGTCGTCTTCCTATTGTCATGTTTCGTGGGACACCCTGTAGTATAAAACTCATTGAAAAATTGTCAAGACGACATTTGATAAATTCTTCATTGTTGTATTCGTTATTAAGCGTTTCACTGTACTCTACAGGGACGCAATATTTGTCGTGGGAACCAACGTTCTTTTAAATCAAAATTTTTAATTTTCCATAAAAGAGGTTGTACACAAAATGTGCTAATTTCTTCACGAAAACTTCGCACTGCTGCTAGTGTTATCAAAGGTTTATCCATCAAATTCGAATTGTTAAACTAATATTTATGATGAAGAATGGATATCATAAATGCGTCACATCAAATTGTCAATATATTTGAAAAAAAGAAACTAAACGTACTTTTTGATATTTTTTAAAAACCTTTTCATGGAACCTTCTCCGAAAGTGATTTGCGCATTTCTTGCTTTAAGAAACAAGGGAAAAAATCACAGAAATCAACATTTTGCAAGTCAGAAAAAAATTATGTATTTTCCACATTTTTATCAGAGTAGGGATTAAAGCATAGATAAACAAATAAACATAGATAGCTTATGTACGCAAAATCACCAAGAATTGTTCAGTCCGCGAACTCATACTTCTAGGGGTCAAATTGTACTTCAATGATAAGCGGGGTGGTTTGGTGTTTTAATTTAACTATTTAAACAACAATATTTCACAGAGCAATATATCATATTGACGAGAACTGAAGAAGGACATGGGAAGGACCATAGAAGGACTAAATAACATAAATTTCTCTTTACAGAACTCATGTACACCACAAGTACTCAATGACATAAGAACAGCCAATGTTCACAACCGACCTAGTTAATCTACAGAGCGTCCCATATCATATTAGATTATCTCTAATCTTTAACGACAAAATAAACCCTTAATACTCGAAAAACTTATCATTTTCCGCAAGAAAATTCTTATATAAGGCTTATTTTATTTTTCAAATTGATTTATTCTAATTAAATTTTCTTATTAGTCCCGAAAATCGCAATTTAGACCTGTTGACGGTCTAATATGATGTGGGACACCCTGTATATAATAGGAATATCTTTAAAAAATCTCTGTACATTTATATCTTTCAGGATGAAAATTTCGTCTTATGCGAATCTATCTTTATCTATGGAAGAAAGGGCTATCGTTGTAAATCAGGCCTTGCCATCTTTGTATGGAGAATCACTTAAAAATACGCTTAAAATTCCTAAAACGTTAATAAATAAGTTTATCTTTAGCTTTGTACCTGGATGTAAACCTTTGACCGGCCAGAGACTTCTGACAGTGAGTACAAGTGAAACATTCACGATGCCAGGGATCATTGCGGTAGGTCACTCCTCCCTGGGTGATAACCTGAACACAAAATTTTTTGTATGAAGTTCATAGAAAATGGTTTTAATTACTTGTAACTTTAAATTGAAAAAAAAAACTGATTTTGCGTCTCAATTTTTAATTTCTAATTTTCATGCAATCTGATGTTTAAATATGCTTTTGATATTTCATTTAGCTTTAAACACAAAAGGACTTTAGATTGCAAAGATGTAATTTTTGTTTTTAGGCGAAATGTTTCTTTTTGAAATAATGATCTTTCAGATTACTATTTTAGAGAGCTTCACTGCTTTTCAGATGGTTCGGAATTTTTCGATGATTTAAGTGTTGAAATAATTGATTTTTTATAGTATTTTTACTTGTTTCATATACAATAAACTTTAAAGGATGATTATTTGCCCGCTAGGCGTCTTTGCGCCAATGCTTGTGCGATTTCACATGGAAGAGACTCTAACGACACCTAGCGAAAAAAATCGTCGCTTTAAAGTACGTCGCATATAAAACAAGTAAATAATATTATGAAATATAAACTTTATACGATCGAATGCATCGAAAAAAAATTAATGATTATAGGTTGTCATATATAAATGATTTGTTTGGCATCAAAATTTATTTTTTTACAATTCGAATTTGTACGGACGCTACGGTCTTTGGTATGAGTCGTTTTTAACGATTTTCTCCTTATAGACGCGACATATAGAAGTTAAGATTAGTTGCAATCACCATCGAATATTTTTGGACGTAAGCCTATATCCCTTTTAACTTTTCGCGAACACTCCCTTTAAATTACCTTGCTGCACTTGATGCACTTAGTGGCAAACTTATCTTCATAACACTTAGCACAGTAGATATCATGCTCCTTAGGGATAAAGGATTTGGTCCCTATAACATATTAAAATTATAATTATATAATATAATTATATAATATAAAAAAGTCGCACAAAAAAAGCTTAAATCATTATCATTATTATAATTATTATCTTTATCATCATTAACATTATTATCATTATCATTTATATCATTTTATCATAAACATTATTAGCATAATCATTATTATCATTGTCATTAATATCATTATCATTATTAACGTTATTATCATTCACATTATTATCATTCAAATTATTATTATTATCATAATCATTATTATTATTATCTTTATCATTATTTTCATTATTATCATTGCTATTATTATTATTATCATTATAATTATTATTATTATCATAATCATCATTTATTATCATCATTTTGCACTTGAAATATTAGTTTTATGAAGAAGTTGATCACTTGCCTCAAGCTCTAGTTTTCCAAACCTTTGCTACAAACAGAATTCATAGTTTGAATAATCTAAAGTCTACGATATTGGGTTGCAAAGATACAGGATGTAGAAAATCACAGTTTGTGGCAAAGACTATTCCTTTACTTCTTCAAATTGAGAAAGATCAAGGTAAAAGAATAAAGATTAGAAAGTTAGAGTTGTAGACAAGTCATCAGTTATTTTCTGGGGACTCTTATAGGAAGTAATATGAAGAAAGTAATCAAAACAAAAATTGAATTTTAAAACTTTTAATGCTTTAAAATATCCATGATGATTTTATGTAATATTGAATTAAAATTTAATTTTGAAGTATTTTAAAAAACATTTTTTTTAAGCAAATACTCCTCACCTATTGGGTTCTTGCAGGTGCAGCAAACAAAGCACTTCTCATGCCATTGCCTTGTCTTATACTCCATCTTTTTCATACCTTCACATTCGGCAAAAGTTTTAATCAAAACGAAAATTGTCGAAATCTGAATAAAATTCTCCATATCTGGAGAAGTAATTTCAAAACCAATATAAAAAACAGACCACATTTGAACATGCAGGACTAGAAGTATTTTGTGATAAGTAACCTAGGGATTTTATTTCTCAAATTAATTCAAGGGGTAAAGACGACCTTCAAGTCGTATCTCAACTGTCAATTACCTATATAAAAATGAACCACTTTTTGCACTTTAAGGAAAATATGTCGAAAGTATGATAAATTCTCATAATTTTATCGAATTTGTTTTAACAAACCACGAATATGTATAACTTCCATCCCTCCTTACTGTAAACTCTGGAACTCTGGTTCATTTCCAGTACCAGGCCGACATTTTAGCAGCTAAAGAAAGGTGTACATATAAGGCAAAACGGGATAGACACCAAATGAATCATCGCGTTCTTGTAAATTTTATTTTTGCCCCGCTATTTATTTTTATACAAATGATAAGACTTTAGTGAGGACCTGAAATCCCTGAAACTCTTTAATACGCACCATAGCTAGTCTAGTCAGACCGCCTTATTTTGTTCCTTGAAACACGTTCTGTCAACCATATACTATGATACACTTTTCGGATCTGTGCGGTAAAGACTAGACCGGGTATCCTCGTTCTAGTTTTGGAAACATCCATAAATTCAAATGTAGTGTCTAAAGTCTCATCTTTTTGTAGGATCCCCTGTATAATAAGTAATACCTGCTCTGAACACATCTCCACATCCGTCACAACGGGTAGCAAACTGGGAATCATAACAGGACCCACAGTAAATCCTTTACAAATAAATAAATATAACTCATTCTTTTAGAGAGAAAATAATATGTCAAATATAAGACATTCTTGAAATTGTTTAAAAAGCCCAATTTAATAACAAGATCCTACAGTTAAAGTAAGTATAATTTCTATAAGTCTACCTTTCTACCTGTCTCCATGTCTACCTGTTTACCTGTCTACCCGTTTACCTGTCTACCTGTCTACCTGTCTACCTGTCTACCTGTCTAACTGTCTACCTGTCTACCTGTCTACCTGTCCACCTGTCTATCTGTCTACTTGTCTATCTGTCTACCTTTCTACCTGTCTACATGTCTACCTGTCTACATGTCTACCCGTTTACCTGTCTACCTGTCTACCTGTCTAACTGTCTGCCTGTCTACCTGTCCACCTGTCTACCTGTCTACCTGTCTATCTGTCTACCTGTCTATCTGTCTACCTTTCTACCTGTCTACCTGTCTGTCTATCTACCTGTCTACCTGTCCACCTGTCTATCTGTCTACCTGTCTATCTGCCTACCTGTCTACCTATCTACTTGTCTATGCCTACCTGTCTGCCTTGCTACCGAATTGTTTGTCCACTAGACTAGTTCTACATTTGTTGCAAAGGAAGCAGGATTCATGCCAATGCTTCTCTTTATAAGAAAGATCCTGAAATTAATTTCGTTAATTAAAAAATTTTTTTTTTAAAATCAAATGTTTTACTAAGAAACAACGACCATTGCTTAATGTTATTTAAGAGACAATCTTAACCACAGGATACATTTAAATTAATTAGTACTTTTCTTAATTGATTTATAAATGACTCGTCCAAAACTCATCGACTTAACCCTATCCCTGCTGGGGTACTTGAAAACCAGGATATGCTGGGGGGGTGGGAGTCAATTTGACCCCCCCCCCCCTCTAAATCCCATGTTTTTAAAATTTTTAAATTTTTAAAACTGGGTTTTTTCAATCTGAGGTTCTTCACAAAAATGACTTGAGCATTTCTAATCCAGGAAATCATCAGTATTACATATTTTTAAACCTAAAAAACGACAATATCTTCCATTTTGTGAATCGGGCATTATCATCTTTGCATAAAGGGGCACTTGAAATTATGCTTACAGTCCCTTTAAATAAACTTATGATGGCAGTTTACCTTTGAATCAATTCCGATAATCTTGTTGCATTCATCACAATTGTTTGCAAACACGTTTTCGTAGCATTTTATGCAGTACGGATGATCTTCTCGCAGTACATATCTGTAAACAAAGAGATTGCAGTACATATTTGTAAACAAGGATATTGCAGTACATATCTGTAAACAAGGAGATCTTAAGGTCGAGTACATCGTTAAAGGGTTATATTACTCTGAAAAAGCTGAAAAGTTTGTTGATTAATTTTAAAAATATTTTGAATTACTCTTTTAAGATATAAAAAGCATGAAACAATTTGTTTATGAATAAAATGTTATAAGAAGATTGTTGCGTTTCAACTAATATATATATACTTATTTATAAATAAAATGATTTTAACCATGATATTTCTTAAATATATATGGAAATATATGATTCCAGTATAAGATGTTGGTTTAATAATTTACTTTATCTTGTTTGATATGCTTTCAGATGCTTCGGGTCAAACGTGAGAAACTTTAGTATTTTACAATTATCATGTATCTACAGACTACAGGGTGAGTAAAAAAAAACTGGATTTGCTTATTTCACAAAACACTTTAAAAATGTTTGTAGGGTTTATGTTTTAGTTGAAAAAAAAGTTTAACTACAAGGAACCAAATGTGAATTTTTTTTTGGAAAAAACATTCTCTTGAGAAATCGTTTGCAAAACGATTATTTTTTTGTTCCAAAGTTTCCTTCAGATAAAGATATAAGGATTAAAAAAATAGATAATCCACCGGATATTTTTTCTATGTTCAAAATAGAATTTTTGCAATCTGATTATTACAATTTTCCCCGAAAACAAAAATTTAATGTTGTGTAAAACAATATTAATCATAGATTGTATCTAAGTCTTGTGGGCACTTTATGGAACTGACTTTTCAAATAATGAAGCAGAAACAAAGAAGGAATTTGACGGAAATTATTTATTTCAAGATAGAAAACGATGATATCTGAATAATGTTTCCAAAACGAATTTTACTTAATGAAGCGTTATTTTCACAATTATTTTCAGTTCTAACCATATAAGTGTATCTTAAAAGATGAATTTCGTGGGTGCTTTTATTATTTTTCAAAAATTAATTTATCCTTTTAAATAGTTTGTTTTTTAGACAAGAAAAAAAATAAAATGAATTATGAACTTACCTATGTCCAGCCAAGCTATCGTCACAGTGATGGCAAAACATGACTTCAGTTTCGTATTCCTTGGACAACTCACGAACACTAAAATAAAAATTGTCAAAATTAAATTAAATTTAGTTTTGGGAGATTTTGGTCGGTGTGTTTAGTTTGAGAACCAAAAAAGTTGAATTCTCGTTCCCTAGTTTTTTCTTTACCTATAAAAAGAATTTTGTATACTTTGCAACCTGAACTATTTGTAACATAGTGCTTTGAATATCTTATATCAGTTGCAACTATTGAAAAAAAGATCAAAGACGACATTTTTCCAACTTTTCTGGTTCCCCTTGTATAATTTAATAAATTTGAACCGCGTCTTAAATCCGCCAAAAACCGGTTTCAATTGAACTTCGGCTTAAATCTAGAAACATTGAATACAATTTTAAGTGACACCAACCATATTTGAGCCGCGGCTTAATTTAAGCCGCCGCTCAAATTCTTTAAATTCGGCCTCAGGCTGATGTGGTCGTGCCGGGTTCAAAAATATAGTTCTGGAAAATTAGGTTGTTTCTTTTTCTTTTAAAATTGAAATATTTCTATATATTGCTAAGTTAACATATTTTGTTAATATTTTTAAGGATGTATCAGTTGCAACCATTAGAAATAAAGATAAACTTTCACAGGAAAGTTTTCTGATTCACATAATGATTACTCGGAAATGATTATGAAGAAAAGATTATTATTTGATATGTACAACAATATTAGTGAGGAAATATTGGAGTACTGTAATACTAGTATAATAATTTGTAATTTTGATTTTATTTTTTATAAAAAAACTTTTTTTTAAATATACTTTTATTATGAAGTACAGACTTCAAGAGTCACACAACAATTTATACAATGTATAAATACGACACATGCTATGTATGGCAAAAAATTGTTTCAAAAATAGGTTCAGTCCCCCCACCCCTTATCCTAGCTCCCCCCCCCATTTACTAACGATGTCTTTTTAGCGTTGAGAGTTTAGACAATGAGAAATTAATACTCAGAACGTGAACTTGGTAAAAAGGAAACTAAAATATTAGTTTGCTCTCTTAATTGTTTTTTCATTAGTATTTTAATGTTTTAATTTTCAGTTAATTGGTAACTTTTCAACTTAGTCTTCGTTGTTCTGCTACTTGTTTTGTATTGAATTTTTTTCCAGGTTACAAAGATATAGGGATTACACAATTAGAGCTTAATCAATTCTTTATGTAGCTTCAAGACTACCTAATTAAAATAATATGTAGCTTCGATATCAACGAAGAACCATCAATGTTCCTCGTTGGAATAATTCTTAATTTTTATACTTTTACATAGTGTATGTAGCCTCAATACCAATTTCTCCTTAAAAATGTATCCGTAAATTCCTTCACAATTTTCTTTAAATATATGTACTGCACGATATTGATGTAAATTAGTTTTATTTAATCATGTAAACAATGTTGTACAATTTATGTAATCTCGATACGGAGTTAATAAATATCTAGATCTCAAAAAAATTCTTTATGTGCAGAGTTTTTCTTTTTTTGTTAATAAAGATATATTTTTTTAATTTGAATCCTTTCAACCTTTCCATCTCTCCCCCCTCCGAGGAGGAGATAGTAGTTGATGTTTCGGTTGTAATGGTCTCCCCTCCACCATCCTTCTTCACGCTCTTCGTGATCTTCTTAACCTTCTTCACCGTCGACATGTTTACAACTGACAAGGTACGGACACTGTCTGCACACGGAGGTATCCCTGCTGCACACGGACCTAGGCGTGTTTGCACACGGTTCCCTTTTCTTAAAGTTTATACAAAGCTTTCCCTGCTGCAGGGTGTAGTGTTCCCGAGTATTATTTAGAAACTCAAAATTTGAAAAACTAATTAAGAAAAATTAAGATGGACATATTTCTTGGAGATAAAGGCACAGCTGCTTGAGGCACGGTGAACTAGAGGTTAAAAGTCCAGTCAGGCAATTTTAGAACCCATTTTTAACCAATAAATGTAGATTTTTCGTATTTGCTACATTATACTTTTTCACTATTCAAATACATACAGTCTCTAATATACGCCATTTTCGACGGATTTTAAAAAAGAGATCAAAATATAACATTTTTTGTTATAGTTAGTTTTACGTGGGAGGGGGGGGGGGGGGACAAGGGGGCCAAACGGAGGGGGGGATAGAAAAGAAAAGGAGAGAAGTTAAGAACAACATACATATATGGGTAAATTATAAACCCAAATATATAAATTTATGATTCTCAGCAACTGTAATCTTGTTAATTTCTTTGCCTAATCATTAAATAAGTCATCACAAGATTTTGTTTAAGGCAGAAGATTCAATTCAACCAGGAAAGCGGGATATTTTAAGAGTCTTAGGTCGTCTTTACAGTTTTATCTTGTCTGGGTAACCATGTAGCAGAAGTTAGAAAGAGCAAATTAAAATGCAGGCAAAGTTGGAGAACTAAAACAGATTTAGTGCCAAATAAGAAATCACCTATTTTTGAATATTTGGGTCATCGTTTATCCTTCATGTTCTCACAAGGACAGTTGCTATCTTTTTCTAGTTTCCTATTCTAGTTTTTACTTTTATTTTTATATTGGAATTTTTTTCTTTATTTTACTGGGCTTGCTTTAACTCTAGCAATTTTTCGTTATTGTATATTTAAAAGTTCGCGAATATTTATTTTAAATTGGTGGATTTCTAATATCTAATTTGTTTTTTGTAATTTCGACTAGCCATAAACCTCCCTTGATGTCGTGTAAGTTGCCACAAAAAAAACTAAAGGCTTGACGTTTGATTGGAGACAAGCAAAGTATTTGTTAAAGATGTCCAGTATTTTAAATTCATAAAATAAAACTTCAGAGTTATCAAATTATGCAGAAAACTTTTTTATGAATGGATGACAGGTCTCTTCAGAAAATATATCTGTTTTTACTGTTTAGTATCTCTTCAGGTATATGCAGAATTTTCGTGTGCAAAATGTTTTTCAGCAGATATATGCAAGGTGTGTACAGTTTGTAATGCAAGGTATGCCAAGAATTTAACGTTCAAAATTCCATTTAAAGTTTATTGGACTTCAGGCTTGAAGTTCATCAACTAAAGTTTTGCTGCAGTTGTTGTCGCATGTATTAATACAATAAAGACGACTTTGGATTTCAATTTTGATTTGTATCAAGCTTATAAACAGCAATATGGATACATAAACATGTAAACAAAGATAAGCTGTGGATTTAAAAAGCTTCTCTTCATTGTATTCATATAATACTCTATCGCTATTTTGGATGTGTCATTTCCTCTATAAATTATAATAAAACGTGACATATATCCACGCCATGTTTAAGGATTTGATTCTATCTTGCTGTCTACACTGCTCGGGGCCAGCCTACAATTTCAAGATACCCCTCTAACTGTCTACCTGTCTACCTGCTATCTTGCTGTCTACACTGCTCGGGGCCAGCCTACAATTTCAAGATACCCCACCAAGAAAATATATCAAAACTTTTTTTAAGGCAAAACATTTTTAATTTTCGTTAGGATAATAGTTTTAACAGAATTTACATGTATAATTCACATTGGTTTTTGTTTACGAAAATGTTTTACAAACATATATCTGCTATAATATTATAGCAAATTGCTAAGTTATTAAAGTTCGAGAGCAAAAAGTTAATTTCATAGGATATGCAAAGTTAGATTTTTGGGGTTTCTAATTTATTAGTATTTTTTTCATGTTTAAAAATAAATCAAGTTTAGTTTGTCAATATTTATAAATAGAAATCATGACAAAATTCTAAATGCGATATGTAACAACTATATATATAAGATCTTTATCGAGTGGGCGCTGACTAGAAGTAGGCGCTTTGCTAGCGCTGTTTTGCTTAAGAATTGTGATATATAAAGTTACGAAGCATGGCAAAACCATTTTTTTATGACTTAGGTTGCCAAAAAGGTTTGGAGCGGATATCAGAATAAAACTGCCTATGCTATGATACATCCATTGACCATTCTATAAATATGCATATCCATTATCCATGTATGTATAATTTCATCTAAACATGTTGCACCTTAAAATGATATATAATTTACGTAAAACAAAGACAGTATAGATCTAGAAAAAGAATATAGCATAGTATAGTTAAAATCAGAAAACTCCGGAACAAAAAGCCAACTTTTAGACTTAAGATATGACAACAATTGTTCATTATACGGAATATGTGATAAGAAACTACGCTAAAACTATTTCCTTGATAACATCATCAAATTCACTTACTTTAATGTCGTCTTCCTAGTCTACAGTTTTCTGGTTCTCACCGAACAAGTATCAATCAATATTGCAACAGTGGACTAGGTTTAAAATCTTTTTAAAATGCATTCATCTATATATTTTCTACTTTCTTCTGTAAAACTCATATTTTCAAAGTTACCCCATAGATCATAGGAAAAAATGTAAATCGAACACAATGTCGTCTTTGATATAAAGATACCTGAAGACAAGAAAATGCACGCGACTCACGAGCCTGTAGTGTACACAATCGGTCACATTTTCAAATATTGTTTTGTGCACGAGTGTTAATAACAACCTTTTAGAAAGTTTGTCAGAAGTATTTTTATTGGTGAGAAGAAAAACAAACAAGATGCAGAAAATAAATCACTTTATATCGGTTAAGACAGTAAAATAAAAAATGTAAACATTAACGGTTCGCACTTTTTCTATCTTTAATTTACCTTGAAAAGTCTTGTGAAAAAAAATCTTTTTTTTTGCTTACGCTTCTTTCACTTCACTGTTATTGACATATGTATTTATGTATTTAGTTTTCAAATTCAAGCAAAAGGAACCTAAAATTAGCAAACTGGTCTTCAACTCCAATTTTCTATTCCTGACAGCGTTGCAACCCAATGTCGTAGAACTTTAAATCGACAGTGGGCCCATACAACTGTTGAATGGGAAGACTGTAGTTATGACTTTAAATAGTAGAATTAACATAAAACACAGTAACTGTGTTGTGTGAAAAACCCCAATTCACTTAAAAATTGAATTTTCAAGCGATCGTTTGGTATAACCATTAGCTCAATTTATATGCAACATCAAATACACAAAAGATTGTTTTTGGGTCTTAATGCAAAATTCAATCAGATCCAATTTACACAGTTAGGAATTGAAAAAGATTTATTAAAAACCTGTGTTTTACCAATTGAGACAGTAATAAAGTAATATGCAGTTATACAGTAATTAGGTAATAAAGTAATACAATAATACACTTATACAGTAATACAGTTACATAGTATAATACAGTAAAACATCTTTACAGTAATATGTATACTAATCTATATATAAATTTGGCTTGTCTGTTTGGGTGTCTGTTTGTTTGTAATTAAACAGATCGGGCCCAATTTTTTGTGGGACATCACGAGACTGCACAGGGCAGGTTTATGAATGATAAAAGTTTTAAAAATGTGTTTTAAAGGTTTTTAATTTTGTAAAAAAATCCGCAAATTTTTTTTTTATATCCGCAAAATTTTTTTCTTCTTTGTTTTATAATGTAAACAAAAAGAATGTGTTCACAATTTAAATAGAAGATGGGCGCGAAGCGCCCTAAAAGCCTAGTACTCTATAAATATTACATAATTATTTAATAGAAGTAAAAAAGCAAGTATAACATTTATTGAAAAAAGGTAAAACTTTATCAATTCAATAAAGGAATAAAGGATACAATAGAAGAGTAATATAGAATAACGTATAAATAGATTGTGAAATTTTATTTATTACAATATCATTACAATGTTTTTACAATAAAAATGTTTCATAGCTTGAAAGCCAATCTTTAGTAGTTTTAACTTTACTGACAAATTGTTTATTGAAAGAGGTTTCCGGATTTCACTTATTTAAACATTTATATATATTCAGTGTGATTCTGAAAAAAGTGTGTAATCAGGCCTTTTTAGCCTTTACCAAAAACTATTTTATTGTGTTAAAAAATGGTCCTCTACAATCCCAATAAAACTTTAAAATCTACTCGTTTTAACTTTCAAAATGTACTCGAAATGTAGTCAGTCCATGTTCTTAAGATTTTCAAAAAAGAATTCTCAATTCCATCATTAAAAAGCGCATTTTTACTATTCTGTCGTAAAAACGAAAAAAATAAATTATATTAAATTAGTTTGAAAATCTTTGTAAAAGAGACCGAGCTAATTTTTCGTATATTAGGACTACATGCACGACCCCCCCCCCATATACTGGGTTTATACCTACTAACAGCACTTTTGAACACAATAAAATGATGTTTAGTAGAATAAACGCGCTGTATAGTGTTAATATTCACCTGATATACTTGAGAACACGATGATATATTCGACGATATTCAGACAGAAATATATTCTATGCCAAAGGGAGTGTGTGCGGTGAAAAAAAAATGTTGAAATAAAAAAAATTTAGACTAACTTTAAAGAATGAAATTTAATAAAACTATGAATATTTATCAAAAACTTAAACTTTTTTATACTTACAATAAAGTTTTTCATAAGCAAATAAAAATGCTTGGTTTTAACTTTTTCATATTTTTTATTTGAATTTTTTTGTGAGCACTGTAAACAGTATTTTTTAAATCCTGGCTTTTACAAAATCAAGAATTTTGCACACGGCACTTTCTAGGCTAGGCTCATATACAGATAGATTGATACGGACTGAGATAGATAGATATAGATAGATAGATATACAGATAGATAGATAGATATATGGATGGATAGTTAGATAAAATACTAGCCTTCTATAGGCAGATTTTTGGCATTTTTTATAATAATAATTTTAACTTTTTATAAGCAATAAAATCCAGCCAAATAAAGGGACTGTATAAATACCCTGTATCCTGCAGTACACTGTACCCAGTATCCTTCAGTGTACTGTACCCAGTGATGCTGCAGTACCCTGTTCCCAGTATCCTGCAGTATCCTGTTTCCAGTATCCTGCAGTACCCTGTTCCCAGTATCCTGCAGTACCCTGTTCAAAGTATTCTGCAGTACCCTGTTCAAAGTATCCTGCAGTACCCTATTCCAAGTATCCTGCAGTACCCTGTTCCCAGTTCCCTGCAGTACCCTGTTCCCAGTATCATGCAGTACCCTGTTCCCAGTATCCTGCAGTACCCTGTTCCTAGTATCTTGCAGTACCCTGTTTCCAGTATCCTGCAGCACCCTGTTCCCAGTATCCTGCAGTACCGTTCCCAGTATCCTGCAGTACGCTGTACCCAGTATCCTTCAGTACACTGTACCCAGTGATCCTGCAGTACCCAGGATCCTGCAGTATCCTTTACCTAGTATCCTGTGCCTTGTACCCTGTATCTTGTACCCTGTAACCTGTACCCTGTACCCTGCAGTACCCTGTACCTAGTATCCTTCAGAACACTGTACCCAGTATCCTTCAGTACACTGTACCCAGTATCCTTCAGTACACATGTACCCAGTATCCTTCAATGCACTGAACCCAGTGATCCTGCAGTACCCAGCACCCAGTATCCTGCAGTACCCTGTACCTAGTATCCTGTACCCTGTACCCAGTATCTTGTACCCTGTAACCTGTACCCTGTACCCTGCAGTACCCTGTACCCAGTATCATGCAGTAACCTGTACCTGCAGTATCCTGTACCCTGTACCCTGCAGTACAGGATACTGCAGGGTACCTTATTGGTTATGTATTGACCAGATAGACGGATTAACTAACTGGTCATGTACTGACCAGTTAGGTAATCCGACATAACCTGCCCAATCCCTACTATACCCAAGTAACAATTTTGCGAAAAATCCGCGGAAATTCCCAGGAATTTCTCAAAAATAATTCTTTTATTAAATTTCTCTTAAAATCCGTAAAGATGGTGACCAAGTGCCAAGAATTTCTTAGGAATTTCCGGAGAAGTAATCTGGAGAAATTATCAGGATTTTCTTGGGGTGAAATTCCGGAGAAATTCCAGGAATTTCTCTAAACTAACTCTCTTAATAAATTCTCTTTAAAATCCGTAAACATGGAGGTAGTCCTAAGAATTTATCAGGAATTTCCAGTGAAGTATTCCAGAGAAATTCTGAGGAATTTTGTGCGGAAAATTCAGCACATCTATAGTGGCACCTTTATAGCCTTTTTTCAAAACATTTCTTGTTACCATTAAAAAGTGGCATGAAATGAAGGAAATATAAAGCCTAAAAACTGACGTGAGTAAATCCACAGAGTATAAGAAAAAATGTAAAAAATGAGTAAATAAAATGATACTTATGAATCATAAAAAGCCAGAGCTCTCTTGGGAGACTCTCCACCTTTCATTCGCCAAAGAACGACCAAGGTAACTCTACAGACTCTTCCTGAATATTGACTCTCATTTCGGTTTTAGCCCAGGTCATGCTATTTCCTCTTGCCTCTTATTAAAGCCGTGTCTGCTGCCTATTGGATAAATTAACTATAGAATTCCCTGTCTCAATGGCAGCTTGCTTTTCAAAACCATTCGTCCAACTCATGTTCTCTAGGTTGGCATTTCTTAACGGACAAATATCCCTACACGATATAGATGATGAGACTTGTCATCTGTCCCACTGTCTGTCCGACCTATAGCTATATACAAAAGAGCTTTGCCGCACTACTTGCAATCCAAGCTTAGCTCCGGGTCCATTTAAGGACTGAATGGTTTACATCAATAGAACTATCCACTCTGAGTTTAGGTCTGGGTTTGTATGAGAACTGAAGGGGTCACATCAATGGGACTATCCCTATTCCGAGCTTTTGTATTTACACTGGTTACATCTTAGCTCTGGGTCTGTATGAGGACGAAGGGGTTACATTAGCATAACAAATTTTGATTAAAGAACTCTATCCCTGCTGGGGTTCTTGAAAACCAGAATACACGGGGAGAGGCAAAAAATGTTCCCAATTTTATAAATCGTAAGCGTTTTTCAATTTCAAGCTTTTTTATTTAATGGAAATCTTGACTTTCTTTTCTTCAGATTAATTTAAAAATCAACGACAACAGGTAAATGTTATTGTTAACGATAAATTTAGAATTAAGAAACTAGACTTAAGTTATAATATTGTTCATATCTAGTAATGTTCCTTAATCAATACTCATTTATCAAAATTGTAATATTGTTCCTAATTTTCATGCATTTAAGTATAACTAGTAATTTCTTTTTGTTTTTAAATTGCTAATGTTCCTATTATTGTTCCTGTGCCTAATACTGTGTCCGACCCACCTTAAATCCCTGTCCTAATCCTATATTTTTGTTCCTAATTCCTGAACAATCTTTTAATTGTTCTTAAATTCTTGTCCTAATCATTTATTTTTGTTCCTAATTCCTAAACAATCTTTTAATTGTTCCTAAATTCCTGTTCTAATCCATTACTTTTGTTCCTAAAAGTTAAAAATCAAGTCAAAAAAAATTTTCGCCTGCGGCACGATTTTTTGTTCCTAATTATTAATTTTTTGGTTCCTAAAAGATCTTGCCCCCCCCCCTCACTTAAATCCTGTATCCGCCCCTGGATTTATGTAAAAGAATAGTGTTAAAGAAAGTAACCAATATTTATTTTACCATGTCTAAACTATAGAAAATAATAGTTATGTAATTATTGTTCATGAATAAAATACTGCAGCTATGGAAGTTGTTGAAACTTATTCACATCATAATCCTAATATTTAAATCTTTTATATTTTTTTAATTTTTCCATAATGTCATGAAACTTATATTACTTATTTTCGTATTCATGTGCAAAATCATGTAAAAATTATGACTTATTTATTCATTCGCAACTCGAAACAAGAGAATCTACTGTTTCATGGAAACCCTAACCCCGACCAAATCAGACCTGAGTCTGATTTGGTCAGGTTCCCAACAAACAAAACACAGGTTTATGACGAGATTATCATGGTGAAGAGCTGGTTAATAATTCACGTGAATAAGTCACTGCCCCTTCTTGTGTTATACTCGTTGTATGCTACTTTTCACGATCCCCAGTGTAAGGCACGGGTAAAAAACGCGGAATTATTCTAGGGTTTCCATCGAATTTTCGTTGAACGAAATTTGCGAAAATGATCTAACGTAATTCGTCCATTTTCGATCAAATTTTTTTTTCGAACTTCGATGTTCTTTATTTTAAACTTTCTACCTCTGCACTTTTGCGAAAACTTCGTTGAATTTTCGTTGGATAAAAATCGATTTTTCATTTTCATGTTAATTAATATAGATAAGGTAAACTAGCAAATAATATCAGGAAAACATTTATAATTTAATATATTATTTTAAAAATAGTATGTATGAAAACTGATATAAGAAATTGTTATCAGTGATTTTCTGCATTTCTATTTTCAGATTTGTAAGTGTTTGGTGTTAAATCTCAAATATACAGGGTTACGCACTTAAAGGATGAGACTTTAACAACCTGAAAATCTTTTGTATAATTGAGTTAAATTTTATTTAAATATTTCTGCTGTATATCAGGGATGTTAATAGCAGCAAATTTAGTTGTCAACTTTGACTTTGACTTCAATTGAACAATTCTTAAACTTAAAGTTTTTTGAAAAGTCTATTAATAATTTTTCTCTCATCTGCAGAAAATTGTATTGATTGAAAGAATCTTAAAACAAAGACGACTTACTTTCAATCAAATTGTTATCAGCGCCATGCGGCATTTTCCCCAAACCTCAGTTTGATTGGTTGGCCGTTGAGTGGTCATTTTCTGCTTTGGAACTTTTTCAATATCTATGAATTTAATATTTTAAAATTCTGTCGATGAAATTTCATGTTAAACTATCAGGTGTAAATTGCCTCTTCCTTTTAAATCCTGGATGACACAATGGATTTTTAACTACTCAGTTTCGCCTAAAATATAAGTTGCTCCATGTACAAAATTTATAGGAGGCAGAGGGGGGGGGCGATAGGGGTGATCCATAAATACTAGGAAATTTTACGTATAATAAACTCAATTGCTCAATTTAATGTTTGGAATTGTTCCTAGCATTACTTTAGAATGGTGGATATCGAGATTAATGCTTGATGTTTTTCACAGATGTTTTGATGATCGCATTTTGTAAAGAATTCAATCCCTAATTTGGGGAAATAATTAATTTTTGGATATGAAATATATAAATGGCGGAAAAACTGACCTTATTTTGTCCAATTTTTTTTCTCGCCAAAGCTGTGAAAAAAATATTACCCATTCTAAAAAGATCTTTACATTTTTACAGTATTTGTCCAAATTATTATGAAGTCTTTCATAAAATGTAAAATGATTTTATTTCAGGATATGAAGAAAATGGAAAAGTTTGTCAATAATCTAATGCGCCATATGGCCAGCAAGGAAATCCACTAAAAAGAAGAAGTTCCGACGAAAATCCACGAAGAGACAAATAAAGGATTTTAGAGTGACGTTAGTGAATCATTTCGAGTTAAAAATTGATTAACGTGATTTGATCATAAAATCTGGTATTTAAAGTATTCAATTTATAAATATATCTGATAGCAAAATGTCAGAGGTTGAGAGGAAACCTATCCCAGCAATTCCAAAGGAGGCGCAGGTATGGTTCTAAATTGGGAGGATGATATCGTGTACTAAAGGGACTAAAGACGTAATTTCAAGTGACTTGCTTTTAATAGTTGGGTATGTACGATTATCAATGATACTGTTTTTCTTCTTTGAGGGGGGTGGAGGGGGTATTTTGGGTGAGAGTTATCTTTTCACATTTAATTGATTTTAAGATTGGTTGGTTGTTTGGTTTAATTGGTTGTAATAGTTTTGCATTCTCAAGATTAATCTAACCACGGTTTTTTTAAGGGGGGGGGGGTTGGAGAATTGAATGATTTTGATTTTAAATAAAGTTGATTTATGAATCCTTAGGTCATGATTTCTATACTTCGTGATCTTGGAATTCAAGATTATGATCCTGGAGTCCTTACACAGATGCTGGAGTTCTCATACAGGTTTGTGGAGTACTTTAAGGAGGAGTACTTAGTACATTGGTTAGTAGAAAGCTTTTAACGGAGTACTCAATACATTGGAAAATGGAGTATTTTTAGGGGAGTACTTAATACATAGGTTAGTGTATTACTTATAGGGAAATACCAGTGCTTAGGATCCGGATCTGTTAAAAATTTGCAGATCCAAGGGGTAAAATATCAACCGAAAACTGAAAAAAAACTCTTATACTCCTAAAATCCAAATCTGAACTTTTGAAAAAATAATGATTATAATGTTGCCTCATTTATGAATGGATAAAAATAAGCAAAAAAAAAAATTTTAAAAAAAATTTGAAAATTATTTTTTGTTAAAAACATTCAGTAAATCTTAAAGAAATGATTTGGATCCGGATCCATTTTTTTCCAGTGCGGATCCGGATCCTGATCCGCTTAAAAATTAAATGGACCCTAAGCACTAGGGATTACTTACTACATAGGTTATTGGAGTACTTTTAGGTAAGTACTCAAGAAATAGGTTAGTGGAGTACTTTTAGGTGAGTACTCAACACCTCTAGCTCCCTGTATCTGGATCCGTTATATTTTAGTTCCCTGTCTCTAATATCCGCTGATCCAAAAAGTTGCAAATTATCATCAAAAATTATTAAAAAATTACATTTCACTTTCAAAACACACAAACAGTTCCTGCTTTGAAATTAGGGAGAGAAATTCTTTTTATTTATTTTAATATTTTTAGTTTTATATTAATATTTGTATAGGTATATCAGTAACATACTAGAGGATGCACGGGTTTACTCCAATCATGCCAGGTAAACCTGTTATCAACCCCCCCTCCCTTTCTTAAAACATTCCCCTTATTAATTATTTTTACTTAACCACATCCTCCCCTCCCATTGTCTTCATGAAAATAAAAACTTCTTTTATGTAAGACCGAAGATTTATCATTTTTCTCGTTTTTGTTTTTACTTAAAATAAGCTTTTTCTTCTAAGTTTAGAATTTTAATTTTTAATTAATTTTTGCAGGAAGAGAATGGTTGACCTCGAGGACGTCAAGTTAGCGGTCCAGGTAAAAAAATTACTGATTCCTTTAAAAATAAAGATTCCTTATAATCTTTGATTTTTGACAGTGACATTTTTTAGTCCTTTTATTTCTAGTCTTGACGACTTTTTTCGACTTTCTTCCAAAAAATTTAATTTTTTGCCGTCATAATTTTGATTTATCCTTTTATCGACATTTTTAAGTTCTACATTCCTTCTTTATTTTCTCATTCTTTATTTTTCAACTAGCGTGGGAATCCACTTTGCCTGGAAACTAAACTTTCGTTATAAATGTCAACCTTCCCCTATTTTAAAAACATTTTAAGAACATTTCATTGGCTTTATGGAGTCCCCCAATCAAAATGTCTACTTAATTTAAACTGATGGATGACAAAAACTGTGAAATGAATGTCGTATTCCTATTTCTATCTTTTTGATAGGAATTTATCTATATTTGTATTTTCTTTAGAATGGTGGATATCGAGATTAATGCTTGATCTTTTAGAAGTACATTTATTGCTTCTAGTTGTAAATACATGATAAATAAAGAGTGTATAAAAGGAGAGGAAGTTGAGAAGGTCTTCTCCGGTTCCAGGGTCCGACACAACTGATTTGCGGATTTCCTAATCCTCTTTCGGGGATTTCATATCCTCTACAATCTCCTCTTTTTCTTAATCTCCAGATTAAATAATGCTTGTTCTCCCCTCCAGATTAATTATCCGATCGGGATTAAGGATATCCCATTCTAAAGTTTTCAGCTCTGATCATTTTATTACTAAGTTCCGTCAAAGCAATTTTGCAAAATTTGCGATGTAAGAAGGACGACAATTCCACAGGTTTCTTGTTACCACTGTATATTTTGTATTTATGAAGGTGAATACTGAACAAACTGTGACCGGTCCTCCTACACGTGAAGTGCTGCTAGGAAAATATTGAAAAATCTTTTGATAATTATTTTTACTTTAAACTTTATAAAATGTAGGGTTAAATTTTTTTGAAATTCCGATATTGTAATTCCAAAAAGTAGTGGGTTTAGAATCAGATAAAATAATGATATTATTGTATAATAAATAAAATTTAAAAATCGTCGTGGAAGTCTGGATTTTTAAAAGCAAATTATACAATCATTTAAATACCCTTTGTTGATGTATCGTGAAAACTTGTTTATTTTTGAGAAAAAATACAAATAAAAAAAGAAACGGAAGAAATAAGCCGGACTTTTTCAACAAAAAGACCTGCAATTGTGATCATTTGTTTGTTTTCAATTTTAAGCACTGCTTACTTGTTTGTTTTTAATTATTACGTACTGCAGACCTAGCCCAGAGTCGGAACAATACCCAGCTTCCGCTCGTGAAACCTGGTGTAGGACTGCGCCTACCCCCGGATAGACATTGTCTGACTAATACCAACTACAGGTAAAGCTTTGTCAGGGGAAAATATTTCCTAAAAAATAATTTGATATAATCTAGATTGAGGTCAGCTAGAGGAGGAGCCGGTCAAACTGCTAGAGGAGGGAAAACTAATGGCGTCTCTACACCTCAATTCAATATCCAGGTTGGTTTTTGTATCATTCAAAGGAGTACCACATGAAGAGTTGAACGAAAAAGTGGTTTGTAACGAAAGGGACAACCTGGGTTCATTAACTTTTTTTAAAATAAAAAAGAGTGCGTCATTCATTTAAAAAAAAATATGCGATCTTGTTTTTTTCAGGTCGTTAATTTCGACCTTTTATTTTTTTTATTGCAAAAGTGAAATTTTGGAAATTTATCCAAGTCTGCCGAATGAAGTCCCTAATCTAATTCAACTGTTTCAGATTCAGCCGTCTGGAAACAAACGAAAATGGGATGAATAAAGTATGCTACAGATTTCCAAAATGTGTATCCGGATTTTCTGTGTAGTGTGTAGCCGGGATTCGTTATGTTCCGGATTTCCTGTGCATTGTAATCAGAGCTTTGACGTGCGCTGGGTTACGACATGTTGCGGGATTTTTCTGACCAGTGTAATCTGGGCTTCAAATTGCGCCGAATTTCCTGTGCACTGTAAATCCGGACTTTAACGCGTCCGGATTTCCTCTGCAGTGTTAATGTGGACTGTAACGTGCTCCGAATTTGCTGTGCAGTGTTCATGTGGACTGTAACGTGTTCCGGATTTCCTTTGCAGTGTTCATGTGGATTGTAACGTGCTTCAGATTTCCTTTGTAAAGTTCATCTAGGTTTTAGCATGCTCCGGCTTTTCTGTGCACTGTGAATCCGGACTTTAACGGTCTCTGGATTTCCTGTGCAGTGTGAATCCGGACTAACGTGCTTCGTATTACCTATGCAGTATGCATCCGGGTATCTACGTGCTCCATGTGAAAGTGCTCCGGATTGCGTTTAAAGTGTGTATCCGGCTATCAACTTGTTCCATGTGATTTCAAAATGTACAAGGCGAGCACTACAACGCAGGGATCAAAAATCAACATGCGTAACAAATGATCAAATTGTCAAAAAACAAATGATTTTTTTATCGCTTTAAATATCAACTATGAATTGAAGCTTATTTCTGATTTTGAAAACTGTTCTAAGAAACTTTGTAATTTTCTTTAATATAATTTGTGTAAGCTCATCGGTTAAGAGCGGAGCTTTTATTTTTATGTTTTAAGTTTTCAAAATTTTCCGATTTTGTATTTTGTATAAATCTAAACTGATTTCGGTTTAAATGATCATATTTTAATATATAAATGGTTTTGGGTGAATCTAATATTTGTATTGTACTGTAGATTAGTTTAACTCAATAAAATTACTATGTAAGGGAATGTTGAAAATGTCGTAAAACATCTATTGTTAAACCCATTAAACGAATATTAGAACATTTAAGAAATCTGATTTATTTTATGTTTTAAAGCTAATGGTTTTACCAGTATCTTAAAAACCAACTATTTATTGGACTATTTAAGACCATTTATCGTCTTTTCATTCCACAGTATTCCGAAATACTGAAAAATTAACATGAACATGAACATGAACATGAACATGAACATGAACATGAACACGTGTTTACAAGAACAAGCTTTAGTTTCAATTGTCCCTGTGTGTAAAGATGACATTGTCCGATTTTTAATGGTTCACCTGAAAGGTTTGTTTGATCAAGTATGAATTAGAAATCAATGTTTTTGTTTCTTTAAACCGTTTTTTTGCATCTGCATTTCTTGCTTGTAAGAAGCTAAGAAGATGCTCACAGAAATAATCTTTTTAATCCGACTAAGGGTACCTTTGTGAATCGAGCATTACCATCTTTACATAATGGGTCACTTGAAATTACGATTATAGTTCTTTGAAAACCTTAAATTACGCAGAAACTATAACAACGCGAATTTTTTATCTTTTCTATAAAACTGTCACTAAATCTCATCTATATTGGGACAACTTCATTAATGAAAATTATCAGAACAGGATTGTTCTGAATTTTGTTGTTTTGATAAAGCTTTTGAAAAAAGTATTTTTTTAAAAAGAATGTTTATTTTTCGTTTTTTGTGAAATTGTAAAATATTTTCCCTCTTTTGCTTTAAGAAAGTTTCGAAGTAAAGTTAAAATAAAATGTTTCAGAAAATGAAATTATGAAAAATGGATGGTGAGGTGGAAGGGGATGGAGGAGGAGAAGGAGCAGGGGATGTTCACAATGTTAAGGAATGTAACCTCCATCACGCTTGAATTTTGTGACTTTGCAAATTTCCTCTCGCTGAGTTGAGATATAACTGTAAAACATAGTTTTACTTTTTATTTATTTAAAATCTATTTTTTTTAAACTAAAAAAAGTGCATTCGTATGAACGAGAATGTATGATGATTTTTTTTATCATTTTTCGAAATTTGCACGTGGTAATGTGGCAAAGCTTGGTTCGTTTTTTCGTTTATTTTTATGGATTTTGGACTAATAGACACAACACAAATTCTAAACTTTAAACATTTCAAAACTGTAGTCTGTTAAAGTTTTCATTTATTAAACAATGCAATATTTGTATACTCGTAGAAATTAAGAGGTAAAAACAAACCAAAACGATCGTTTTGGGTTAAATTTTTTCGGATATTTTATTTCGGGTTCAAAATGTAAGAAAAGCAAATTTCTATAGCAAACAATTTTGAAATTGGTAATACTTCCCTTTCAAAACCTTGAAAGTTTGAAAAGATGAATCAATCTTTGTCCCAACACTGCATGTACAAGTAAAAAAACATTATTTTTGACACTTTTATCCAAAAACTCGTTTTTTCTCCGAAAAATCATTTATTTTTCTAATTCAGCGAATAAAACACATACACACATTCTTGGGGAATAAAAAATACAGTTTACACCCTTGAGACAATATTAACAGAAAAGATTTGATAACTGTGGTCTGTCTTTTCCATAGTTTTTTTGGACTCTACTGTATTATTATATTGATGGAGAACTGTCAGGGTGGTGTATGTTTGCTGGATCTCCCTGAGGAAATAATAATCAAAATATTTCATTCTCTCAACCCATTCGATATCTGGTCAACTGCTAGGGTCTGCAAATATTTAGCAACTGCGGCCACCTGTGAATCATTATGGTAAGTGTAATGTGCAAATAAATATTCAAGATTTTTGGCTTTAAAATGCGCTTAAAGATTATTATAAAATGAAAACCAATTTACAGAGCATACAATCTTGCGATGGATTTATGTTAAGCCTCTAAACTGTATTAAAATTAACCTAGATTGTTAAAAAAGGAATTTGCCTATTGCCTATCCCTTGTGAAGATGATTGCAAATTTGTAATCGAGCATGTATATCCGATGGCATGGCGGTCTTGAATGTCCATATTTCGAGGGGGAAAAGGTCAGAAAGTTAGAACATTAAAAAATGTTTGTATCTTATCTTATGCAGGGGTATTCTCAAGTATATTATTCGGCTATACTACCTCTGATTTCAAGTCTCATGTTATGTTCTTTAGTTTTAACAATTATTAATTTGAGATATCCCTCCCTCTTCTCAAGTCTCTCTTGAACACTGCCCCCCCCCCTGTATACGCCCCTAATAAAAACACGCACATATCCCATGTGCATTGAAAACTTTTGATTTTTAGGAAGCATGAGTGGAATCGAGTAATTGAAGAAACTCCATTTCAGTTTCCAACAACACAAACCTTACAGGTATATTTGAACAGTGTGTTCGCAATGGTGTCAGAAATTTTTGAGAATTTGATTGAAAATAATTTTAGAATATCTGGGGCAAAAAAGGAAAAAAATTGGACACTAAAAGGCTTTTAATCCTTCTTCTACTTTTCCCCAATAAATTATTCGTTTCCCCCAAAATATCATTTATTTTCCCTATTTCAGCGAATTAAACCCTTTACCGCTCGCACCGCACAACTTCTGGGAAATAACATTAGTTTAAAAAGAGGGAATGATTTTTCAAGAAAAAATATACACCCCTATATTTACACGGCATACCTAAGCCTTCCCACAAATCATCCAAATATTTCTATATCAAATATGTTTTTTTTTCTCCAAAATTACGCATACACATTACACATGTTTACATTTCTTTAACTTAAAGACCATGTAAGGATTTATATTAAGACTGTTTACGTATGAGTGTATGGACGGGTTCGATTCACATTGGTGACGGTTTCTGATGAAGAATATAAACAGTTATTCAGTTTTTCCATTTAAAAATTTTATTTTCATTTTGGGTTTCTAGGGCTAAAGTTTATCTTAAAAAATCGATGAATTTTTGGATAAAAAGTATCAGAAAGGGTAAATAAAACTTTTTGTGTCCAATGTTTCATATTTTAATTTTTTCCCTAAAAAAATCTAAAACCATTCTTGAAAATACATTCCTCTGTGTCAAGCTTGTAAAGGACGATATTTTCCGAATTATTTGTGAGATAAAGCCTTGTGAATTGGGAAATTACGTATACAATCTTTTTATTAAAAGAATATTTATATTTTAGGATCTAGGAGTATGTTTTCAAGATGCCTGCAAACGACTCTGTTCAATAATTTGGAACGGAGGAACACATTTTCCTAAATGTATTCACTGTAAGGTAGGAACTAGGAACTAGAAAGTAATTAGGAACCAGAAACTAGGATCTAGGAACCAGGAAATAGGATCTAGGAACTAGGAACTGGGTTCTGGGTACTCGGTACTCAGTACTCGAAACTTGAAACTGAGAAACTAGGAAACTGAGAAACTAGGAAACTGGGAAACTGAGAAACTGGGAAACTAGGAACTGGATACTGGGTACTCGGTACTCGGAACTTGAAACTGAGAAACTGGGAAACTAGGAACTGGATAGTGGGTACTGGGTACTCGGTTCTCGGTGCTCGGTACTCGGAACTTGAAACTGAGAAACTAGGAAACTGGGAAACTGAGAACTGAGAAACTGGGAAACTGAGAAACTGAGAAACTGAGAAACTGGGAAACTGAGAAACTGGAAAACTGAGAAACTGGAAAACTGAGAAACTGGGAAACTGGGAAACTGGGAACTAAAATATTTACCTTCTGGGGAGCAACTATAAGGATTTTGCCAACTACTCTAAAAATTATGATGGGGAATATGCTCTGGAATCTTCAAATCCAGGGCTGCTAAGAAAAAGTGTTGTTAAGTTAAACTAAGTGCCAAGGCCTGGCCACATTTCAAGAGTCCCAAGAGTTAGTGAATGGTTTTAGAACTGTGAAGGAATAATTGCTGATTAGAATTTATTGTGTCTTGAATTATTGTCGGTTGTTTGATTGATTGATAAAATTATGGAATTTATGACGGTTCTATAATTGATTGATTGAATTATCGTCGTGTGATTCATTGACAGCATGTTCCTTTGATTGATTTAATGTCGTAAGTTAATTGATGGAAATATTTCTGATTGATTGATTGATTGATTGAGTGATTGATTGATTGATTAATTAATGCATAAATTTATAGATTTTCTATTTCAGGAGTATACCTGTGATTCCTCATGTACTGTACAAAGAGCAAATAAGGTTAGACCAACCTACCCTTTGATCCGATCTACGGGAAACAGGCCGAAGTGTTTCCTAACCTTTCTTACCTAAAAAGCTATCGAATCTTAAAAACAGTGGGATTATTAAAATTCTTGAAATTCAAGACGAAACTTTACAATATTATTCGCATTTGAAGTTGTTATAATGCAAATAGGAACATTTAAAGCAGGCCGTTTTGTCCAATAATACATTTCGATGGCCGGAAGCATCGAGCCCTATTTCATGGAATGTTGTGTTTTCTGCCAATCTATTAATAATAATTATAATATTGTTGTATTCGAAGTTATAGAGTTAATATTTGGAAAGAATTTTGATTATTGAACAAAATATTTCTCTTCATGTAGTATGTTGAAAATGTTTACTAAAACATAAAAATAAATAAAAACAATTGTATCCAAATAATGATATAATAAATTAATAAGAAAAATATTTCTTCTTCTAATCTTATTGTTTGCTGCTATTCTTTTTATGCTCAAAGTATACTTTTATATCTATGATTTATTTAATCTGTAAGCTTAATTTGAAGTACATCACTCTCCACTAAACGCTGTTTTATCTTCAGTCAGTTAAATGCAAATTACTGCAGAACGCACTTAAAGTTTAGTTGAGGGTGTCTGAGTCATGCCTGTTTCACAACTATATCCTTTAACCTTTGCGTGATCAAAATTTAATGTTTAAACCTTGTTTTTGTATTTTAAATTTATCATTTTTATTTGCAGTTTCTGTACAAAAATGACTAGCGGATTTATACTGTTGTAAATTTACAGTTTCAACACTTTTTAGAAAGACAAGCCATGATATCTCCCTCAGTGTTTTTCAGACAGAGGTGTTAGGGCAACCATTGTGAATCGGACATGACACTCTTTATAAATGGGGTTACTTGAATTTACGTCCACGGTACCTTTTACACGAATATTTTTGTTCAGATAGTTTTAGATATTGGCGGGAAAATCACCTGGATAATAGCAGCTGACTTCAGGGACTAATAAAAACTAAACGTTTTTCTTTTCTTATTGAATTTTGAAAATCAGTAATCATGATAATGTTGAAACCTAAAATTTCAATTTTTTATCAAATTCTTTGGGAGTGTTTTTAAACAAGGGAGTGACAGCAATTAAAAATTGTCAAAATTGGAAATTCTCCAAATACCTGGGAAATTGACAAATTCCCCAAATACCTGGGAATTTGACAAATTCCCAAATATCCGGTAATCTTGGGAATTCCCCAAAAGCCTGGGAATCTGGGAAATTCTTTGATTATTTGGGAAATTTTTATAATAGCTAACTTTTTGAGAAATTTCTTATAATAAATAAATAAAATACCCTCAGATTATCAAGGAATCTGGAGATTCCCCAATTATCTGGGAATCTGGGGAGTTTTCCAAATGCCAGGGAATATGGGGAATTCCCATATACATGAGAATCTGGAGAATTCCCCAAATACCGGGGATTCTGGAGAATTCCTCAAATCTGAGGGTAGTTTTTTTTCAATTCAAAAAAATTTCTCAAATGCCTAGCTATTTTGGAAATTCCCCAGATTCCCAGGCATTTGGGGAATTATCTAGATTTCCAGGTATTTGGAAAATTTCGCAGATTCCCAGGCATTTGGGAAATTTCCAAAATCTTGAAAATATGCCAAATAACTGGGAATCTGGGAAATTTACAAAATACCTGGAAATCTGGAAAATGCTTGGAATCTGGGGAATTCCAGAAATTCTGTAGCGAATCTGAGGATATAGTTTGTTTTTATCTTTGTGAAGAAACAATCTCAAGAACTGACGAGGGTCAACCCAGACCGAAATATATTTTCAATAAATATGAGGAACTAACCTCTACTTTTTTACTCTACAGAGGTTTGGTCCATCACCGAATTTTAAGTTTATTTTTCATTTGAGAAAATGCCTGGAAATCGGGAAAATTCTCCAAATGCCTAACTATCTGGGTTAAACCAAATTATTTCTGAGGTTATTTTCTTTCTTTTTTCTCACTCCCATGTTTTAACTCAAAGATACAAAGACTGGATATTTTTGATTTACTAACGGATTTCAAAAGAGACATTTTTTTGACTACCCATAAACCCTCCCAGAGTCGGTCAGGTCATACTTTGACTACCCAAAAACCCTCCCATGGTGGATCAAGTCATGTGAGATCCTAAAAAAGAATTTTGACGATTCAGTAATTTTTACATTTATGGGGTTCTAACAAACAAACAACAGACAATGCACGCAAATAAAAAGATGAAAATAAAAATGAAAATAGATTAACACAAAAGTCATAACAATTTCTTTTTATTCCCTAACATAATAATTAATTCTTGTTATTAGTTTGAAGAAGCATCTGTCTATGATTGCTGTTCCTAAACTTCTTAAATGCTTTGATTGTGATGCAACTATAGGTGATTTGGATAGGAAGGGGGGGAGGGGGTTGGAATAATTTTTTTTAAATCATATCTTTAAGTTAAACATCTATACAAGATATCTTTTATAAAAAAATGTAAGGTTTTACAAAAAATTTCTCCTAAACATTTATGAAAGATCTGATCCAAATGTGTCAATATACAGGGTTACCCACAAAAATGTGACTATAATGCCGACCCACAACTATTACATCATGACGATTTGAACCAGGATTTTGGTTTCTTCCCTTCAATTTGGCATTCACGTTGGATATGAATTACATTAGAAAAGAAAAAAGTTTTGATCTGTAGAAAACCATGAATATAAGAACCAGGGTGGAACAAACTGTGTGGGTAACCCTGTAGATCCCAGGATAATCTGACTAGAGTTCACGTTTCTAAAATTTCTTTATAATCTCATATTGAATAATTTTTTAGTAGTGCTTTGGATCCATTTTATATTGATGCGTATTCGGATCCTGAATCCGCCCTGAATAAATGGTGTTTTTAAAGAGAAATGTTTTATGAATTTCTTCTAAACATTTATGAAAGATCTGATCCAAATGTGTCAATATACAGGGTTACCCACAAAAATGTGACTATAATGCCGACCCAAAACTATTACATCATGACGATTCGGATCCTGAATCGGCACTGAATAAATGGATCCGAATCATCTATAATTCATTAAGAAATATACTAGATTTAGTAAAGAAGTATTTATCAAAAAGAATGATCTCGTTTTTTCAATTCGATCAGGAAAATTTTTAATAATTTCTCTTTTTTTCTAAAGTTAAAATTTTGCTTTTTACAGTTTTTGTTTGATATTTTGCTCATTGGATTCGGTTCCGAGCATCAGCATATTTTTGTGAATATATTTTTATATTTTAGATTTTTATATCTATATATCTATCTATTTCAGACCGTGGTGAACGAAGCTGTGATTGTCGTGACGATGATTCATTAAAATGGAATCTTCCCTCCTGCAGATATAGATCAGTTAGTTCACATACTGGTCTCCAGTACACTAGGTGGTTTATTTTCCAGTAAACATTTTAGGGTTTTTAGTGACCTCAACATTGATTTCCATGGAAAAGAGTTTAAAGTTGTTTTAAAAATTAAAATATTGTTTTTTATAAAATTACAATATTTTATTATAAAATTTACAATAATGTTGGTAAAAAAGTTAAAATACTGTTAGTATAAAAATTACGATATTGTTGTTATAAAAATTACGATATTGTTGGTATAGAATTACAATACTGATGTTAAAAAATTACAATATTGTTGTTGAAAACATAACAATATTGTTGTTGAAAACATTACAATACTGTTGTTGAAAACATTACAATATTGTTGTTGAAAAATTACAATATTGTTGTTTTAAAAATTGCAATATTGTTATCTAAAAATTACAATATTGTTAAAAAAATTATAATATTGTTGTTGAAAAATTACAATATTGTTGTTTTAAAAATTACAATATTGTTGTTGAAAAAGTTACAATATTGTTATTGAAAAAGTTACAATATTGTTGTTGAAAAAGTTACAATACTGTTGTTTTAAAAATTACAATATTGTTGGAGAAAAAGTTACAATATTGTTGTTTTAAAAATTACAATATTGTTGTTGAAAAAGTTACAATATTGTTGTTGAAAAATTTACAATATTGTTGTTAAAAAAATTACGAATTTTTTGGTATAGAATTACAATATTGTTGTTAAAAAATTTCATTATTGTTGTTGAAAAAGTTACAATATTGTGGTTATAAAAATTACGAAATTGTTGGTATAGAATTACAATATTGTTGTTAAAAAATTACAATATTGTTGTTAAAAAATTTCAATATTGTTGTTGAAAAAGTTACAATATTGTTGTTATAAAAATTACGATATTGTTGGTATAGAATTACAATATTGTTGTTAAAAAATTTAAATATTGTTGTTGAAAAAGTTACAATATTGTTGTTATACAAATTACGATATTGTTCAAGTTGGTATAAAATTACATTATTGTTGTTAAAAAATTTCAATATTGTTGGTATAGAATTTCAATATTGTTGTTAAAAAAACTTTGATATTCATTATTATTATTATTTAGCCAGCAACTACGAGGATTAGGCTACCAGCAGCAACAAGACCGTCCTCTCTGTCTGTTCTGTGAAGAGGGAAGGATGTCAAGGTTACTATGTGAAAAGGACATGGTCCTTAGAACTAAGGTAGGGGGTGCTTTCATGACCTCCAAGCAGTGCTTAGGATCCGGATTTGATGGATCCGCATTATTTTGGCTCCCTGGATTCGGATCCGCAAAACTATGCTAATCAGGATCCCGATCCAAGTGCAAATATCAACAAAAACGGCAAAGGAAAATCTTTTTCTCTCAAATCCCAAATATGAAATGTTGAAAAAAGTGACCATCAAAAAATCCTTATCTCTGAAAGGTTCATGAAGTTTTAGCATAAAAATAGTGAAAAAATATTTGAAAATTCTTCTTCTGTTAAAAAAATCTGGATACCTTTTAATTTTTTCCAGTGTGGATCTAGGATCCGGATCCGGTTCCGGATCCGATCAAAATAAAATGTATCCAAAGCACTGTCCCAAAACCATTCTGACCTCTACCTATTACCTGTTGTTGTTTGAGGAGCTATGTGCCGTAATGTGTAGTCTCATTAGTCACGGAACTGAGGGTGGGGGTTCTAACCTTTGTCCTGAGATTGCAACTAAAACCGCAATGTAGCACTGAACACCGTGCTTGCTCCTAGCATTTCAACCGGCGGTATTAAATTACAGTCGTTATTGGAGGTCATTACGTTGAATGACACCAACACGCAATCCTGCCTACACTCAAATAGGCCAGGGTAATGTAATAATTGAGTAGAAATCATGAAGTATACGAGTCCATGAGATGAATGAGACAGTTTTAACACACTGCTCTGGTGCGCGAAACTTACCCCACTCAGTTGGTGGCCATTATAACTTCACAGCCAATTTCCATGTCCATATACGCTACTATGGCTCTATGGCTACAACATAATCATTGAATGTTCGATTGACAACGTTACTAATAAGGAAGATTTTGACGTTTTTCTTTCACGAATTGACATTTATTTTGTTCATTTGTCGCTGGTTCATAAGTCAATAAGACGGAGAAACCACAATTGAAAATTTAAGAGAGAAAGCCAAGGATGTTTCTGGCATTTTTGCTCAGACACAATATTTAATGGGCACCGTTGTGAATTGGATATGTAGCCTTATAAATAAGAGCGATAGCCTATTTAAAAAAGAAAATTGAAATATTAAAAAACATTTCTGAACTTGTTATATTTTAGGACAAGCTATCTGCCTTCGGTCAACCCTACTCCCTTGATGATACTTTTAAACCTACACAATCACATTTATTCCTTAGTAACGGGTACTGTCAGGTATCAGCAATCAATCAATCATTCATTCATTCATTAATCAGTCTCTAATAGTTTGTTGGAGGATTTTATAGGTTTGGTCAGACTTTAAATAATTTCAGGATTTAATATAGTTTTCTCAATCAAAGAATTATTTTTTGACAAAGCGATGAATGATTGCAAGATTTGATCAATTCAGTTGATTTCTAATTGGTGTGACGTAAGGATAAGTTAATCTGTAAGTTGGTTTATTGACTCTTGGTTGGGGGTGTCCTGCAGATATAGATCAGTTAGTTCACATACTGGTCTCCAGTACACTAGGTGGTTTATTTTCCAGTAAACATTTTAGGGTTTTTAGTGACCTCAACATTCATTTCAATGGAAAAGAGTTTAATGTTGTTTTAAAAATTAAAATATTGTTTTTTATAAATTTACAATATTTTATTATAAAATTCACAATAATGTTGGTAAAAAAGTTACAATACTGTTAGTATAAAAATTACTATATTGTTGCTATAAAAATTAAAATATTGTTGTTATAAAAATTACGATATTGTTGTTAAAAAATTACAATACTGTTGTTGAAAACATTACAATATTGTTGTTGAAAAAGTTACAATATTATTGTTTTAAAAATTACAATATTGTTGATGAAAAAGTTACAATATTGTTGTTTTAAAAATTACAATATTGTTGTTGAAAAAGTTACAATATTGTTGTTGAAAAAGTTACAATATTGTTGTTGAAAAAGTTACAATATTGTTGTTGAAAAAGTTACAATATTGTTGTTATAAAAATTACGATATTTTTGGTATAGAATTACAATATTGTTGTTAAAAAATTTCATTATTGTTGTTGAGAAAGTTACAATATTGTTATTATAAAAATTGCGTTTGATTAGTTGATTGATTAGTTGGTTGATTAGTTGGTTGATTAGTTGGTTGATTAGTTGGTTGATTAGTTGGTTGATTAGTTGGTTGATTAGTTGGTTGATTAGTTGGTTGGTTAGTTGATTGGTTAGTTGATTGGTTGATTGTTTCATTGATTATTATTTGAAGGAAGCTGCCACATTCCTAGGAGCTGAGAATATCGATCTTCTCTCGCCACTGATAGCATTAGGTATTTAAAATTCAAGAGCTTCACGTTTCAATAGAAATTAATCAATCAATCAAGCTCAGATACATCCTGAAACCTACCTTTCTCTAGTTTCTGCTCCTGGTAAACTAATATTTAAAAGAATGTTTGTCTGAGGTGATGTCACGACAAAAAAAATTTAAGGGAGAGAAAATGCTGGGCAATAAGTACTAAAAAGGATGAAAAAACTTGCCTTTTCATGTTTAATTTTTCATTATCTCCCTCCAAAACTTCAAAAATCTTGTTTTTCCATGGTGAGTAATTCTTAAAAATGCACACCCCTGGTTATATCTGCATTTACAGAGTGGCATGTCCGATCCTCAATAGCACCGTTATCGTTTTCAGAACGTGTTGAATTCTCACTCAATAAACGGATAAGCACTTGAAATGAAATTTGTCACCAGTCCCTTTAACTCGTGATTTTTTAGAGCATAATGAAGCGTTTCCACTTGTAAAAGCTTACATTAATCATCTTGTGGAAACTTTCAAAATGGTAAGATAATTTCCCCTAAATACATTTTGGGGTTCCCATAAAACTTGGTAATGTGGATACAGGGGTCCCCTTGAAAATTGGGACATGCAAAATTGTTACTATTTTTTCATGTCGTTTTTCTTTCCCCGAAGAATAATCAAAGATAATAATAAAAAAAAATAACACAAGATAGATTTTTATTTAATGAGGGGGGGGGGAAGGTTAATTTTCATTTACATATGTATTATACAGTATACTCCTGTATACTACTATACAGTACACCTCTGTGTAATAAAGGTGAATACTTTAGATGGATGACCTACAGAGACCAAACAGTTATCTGGTTTTGACTGAACCTTCAAATATTTCTTCACATGTAAAGCACAAACTTATTAGGTAGCTTTTTCATCCTAAATAATAAATTAAAGATTACTTAGATGTATCTGTTGTATAAGTGTACATGTATGGTTGTGTCACTGTGCATCAGGTTTGTACTGTGTAGTGTGTATGTTTCTTGCCTAAAAGATTAAACTTAATTACTTTTTCACAAATAGATTCTAGTACAATAGATGGCAACGTAGAATTTGTATACTCTCAGTACAGTTGTATTCTCACGTCACAATTGTCAACTCAGTTTTTGTGTCCGACAAAATTATTAATAATAGTGATAATTTTAGAATAAAATGTTGTGAGGTCCCACACAAAATTTAGGCCCGTATAACAGTGAAATAAGTGCAGTTTTATGTAACCTTTATTTTCTGTTTTAACATTTTTTATTTAATCTTAGAAAACATGTCAAGTAATGTGAGAAAATTTCGTTTTTCTTGGTATCTTTGACACTTATGACGTCGTGTAAAGTAGGTCCATTTCTCTGTTGCCACCTATTGTACTTGATACTCTATTGGCTTTTTACATTTCTTTTTCACACCCATTAATTTTTTATACCTTTAATTGGTTGGTTGGTTTCTTGATTGTTTGATAGGTTGATTGGTAAAATGATTTATTGATTGGTAAATCGATTGATTGATTGGTTAATTGATTGATTAGGTACCTTTTTGAAGAGCTTCAGATCTCTCGACTATGTCTCCTGCCTAAACCTTTAGCAATCTCCATTTTGTTTGAAGTAAGTTCAGTTCTCCCTCAGATCATATGTACAAACTAAAGAATTTTTACAGTGTGATTCATGTGTGGTTTTTGACTCGAGAATTATTACAGTGTTATACATTTGTTGTTATTGCCTCTATAATTATTACAATGTGAAAAATGTGTTTAAACTAAATGCAGTTTTTTTTTACAGTGTGATTCATGTGTTTTTATTGACTTTTGAACTATTACAATGTGGTACATGTGATCTTATTAACTCTGGAGTTACTACAATGTACAATGTGCATATTCAACACTGAATAAAAGTTCCCTGCAGCGCAAACTGTGTTTTTAAAAATACATCCTTTTGGGAATTATCATGCTATACAGAATAAATTTTAAAAAATGATTTCTTCTTTGTTGTCATATTAGGGAAAGGAAATCAAAAACAAGTTTTGAGGGGGGAGGGGAAGAATAAAAAAATCAAGGAATTATGTACACCCTATATGTGTTTGTTATTGACTCAAGAACTATTACAGTGAGCTACATGTGTTTTTTACAGTGTGATACCTATGTTGTTATTGACTCTGGAATTATTACAGTGTGATATCTGTGTTATTATTACAGTGTGATACCTGTGTTGTTATTGACTCTGGAGCCACCAATACGTCTGTATGGGTTGTGTTGAGAAGTAGAGTTGACCCAGCAAGGTAAGAGCATTTTTAATGGAAAACCAAATATATTTTTTATTATTGTTTCCGTTCACAAATTAGTATGTTACCTATGACCCATATATAGTATTGGGGTGGTAGAATGAAATGTATCTTATTAGTATACTCCCTAGGACCTGGAGTATAGAGGTGGGTGGATGGAATGTATCTGTTGTTTTGCAACTATGGCGTTGCCCTTGAGATAAACCAGCTAATACCGTGAAGTGTTTCGTTGGGCCTGATCGTAAGCTCCTCTTTTATCAGATATCTTAATGATAAATCAAGATGCTTCAATCTGATAAATAAACATGTCTTAGGCTACAGAAAAGGCTTTAGATAACATAATTTATCAATATACATTCATCCAGCGAATCATAACATCATATTACCCAGGCGTTAAACTGTAGTTTGAAGCTAAAAAGATAGGAATTCAAGCATACATGAATACAATTTACAATTCAATAATCTTAATTAGTTTATAATTACCACATTAGTCCTCCGACACTTGCACGCTAATCAAAAAGATAAACGATAATATAGATCCGTCTATCACTATAAATACCGATATACTAAGTAAACACATGGTTTTCTGTGCATGAGCAGATAGTAAAACTATATGTCGGTAAAACTGGTTCTGCATTCAAATTCTTTCCCTCGGAAACATACAACTAAAGTTCAGAGATGAATACTGGTTTAACATGGGTGCTTCATAGACTTGACTCGCAGCGTGAGCTAGCAAAACTACTGTATAATATACCACTAGGACCTGGAGGATCGGGGTGGGAGGATGGAATGTATCTGTATAGTATACTCCTTAGAACCCGGAGTATCGGGGTGTAAGAATGGAATGTATCTATATAGTATACTCCCTAGGACCCGGAGTATTGGGGTGGAAGAATGGAATGTAACAATATAGTATACTCTCTAGGACCCGGAGTATCGGGGTGGAAGAATGGAATGTATCTATATAGTATGCTCCCTAGGACCCGGAGTATCGGGGTGGGAGGATGGAATGTATCTGAATATCTAAAGCAAGCAATGTCCTGGCAGGAAACAACTGAATCTGGAACGGCAACTGTATCGAGTCTAGACACAACAAGTAAATATAATAAAAAACCTAACAATAAGATCATTAAATTGGAAACCCTGCTAAAATAATATGCCAAGTTGGTTTTGCTATTTTTTAATTCTTATTCTTTAGATGTGAAGGAAAAATGTCGGTTATCCCTGAATCTATGCAGAGAGGAACAAAGGAACGCCTACAGAACAGAAACCCTAAGTATCAGGTCCCAGGGGCGTGGCTTGAGAGGGGGCGGAGCCCATCATCATATACCAGCAGTAAGCTTTTTCGAACTTATTTACCAGATTTGTAGTTAAATTTTTTATTGTGCGGACACATTATATCCATTTTGTCTTTTTATTAAACCAATTTTAGATCTGCATAACATAGAATGACTATGACCTTGGACAATGGACATAGACATAGACATTTTCAATCTGCATAGTTCAAATACTTAAAATACAGAAAAAAGCAAGTATTGAATTCTTAGTACATTTTTTGCAAACTATGTGAAGCACATTTCACATAGTGCATGGCAAACAATTGATTACACATAGCACATAGCACCAATCACATAGCACTTGATTCATATCACATAGCTCAAGTTGATTAAGGACATGTCATGTATCATTATTACAGTATAAAAATCTANCATTACATGTAAAATTATTACAGTATATAAATCTAGGTTAGAAGTATATATAGGACATATCATGTATCATTATCACAGTATATAAATCTAGGCTGGTAGTCCATGTAGGACATATCATAAATGATTATTACAGTATATACATCTAGGCTGGTAGTCCATGTAGGACATATCATGTATCATTATTACAGTATATAAATCTAGGCTGGTAGTCCATATAGGACATATCATGTATCATTATCACAGTATATAAATCCAGGCTGGTAGTCCATATAGGACATATCATGAATCATTATTACAGTATATAAATCTAGGCTTGTAGTCGAGGTGAATTCTCTGAAATAACTCTGACCTCTGAGCTGTATATGGCTCCAGAGATGATGTATGCGTCTCTAGGTAAATATGAAGGGACTGCAGACATAATATAAATATTCATTTCCTTTTCACATGTTCACCCTCAACCTTATGTCAGGTCAAGAATAAATGAGATTATCCATTGTTTTAACTTGGAAAATTGATTATTATCAATTATGATTTTTCTGTAAGAGTGAATTCTGCTTCAAAACAATGGAGGAAGTTGTAAGAATAAAACACTAAATCTATAAAAACTACCATATTGACCATCTAAAGGTTGAAAGGTTACTGTTGTAAACAAGGCCCCTTTCTAAAAAAAATAGTCATTTCAGATTACAATGATGTTAAAGATTTATCAAATCTTATTAAAACAATTTTTGGCCACTAAAAAAGGAGGAAATGTTTATTTTTAATTAAAAAATTTGAGTTGATTAAATTTGTTTATAATTATAAAGTAAAGATCTGTGAGAAATCAAAAATTATAATGTATGAACAATTCTATTTTATATTATTGTGTATTTTATTTTTACGACCATTATAGGATGCTAAAGCATTGTAATCCAATTGTGTTGTAATGCATTAAAACAGGTTTTATGGTATCATAAAAACCAGTTAAAACTTTAATTTTTGCTATTGAATCCATATCTATCATACATATATATGTGATTTAAAGCGATTTTCTCTGTGACTAATAGATGATTTATTTAACAGAAACAAGAAAAGAAATAGAAAGGAATTTATCCTTTTTAAGATGGCGTTTTATTCTTCAAAACGAAGAGTCACTTTAAATTGCACCCCGCGACTGACAGGTTTCCCGACGCTCTTGCATCCTTGTACGCTAAGGGATCCGACTGGAACAGCAGAGAGCCTGCCTATACGCGCATATTCACAAGGATTTTTCACCCCTTCTTGGGGGGGGAAAATCATTTTTGATGATTTTGGGCGGGGGGAGGGGAGGAAAAATTGAACATCAAAAGACAACTCTTTTTTTCCTTCTTATACTCTACCCCAAAAATTCATTGATGTTCCTCTAAATATCATTTTTTCCCCACAATGCAGCGAATAAAACCCTAAAAAAATAGAAGTTAAGCAATATCATACTTAACTTTCAGGGGGTAAAAAAATCATTTTTAAAATGGGGGGGGGGTAATTATTGGTTGAGAAAATATACACCCCTGAGAGTCAATTATGGAATATTGAACATTTTGAATTTACATACCCATGGTTTTTAAGTATCCTTAAATCTTAAAAATCGCGAAACTTTTATATAAGATATCGCTTGATTTCCACCACACAAACTTGGAAAAATGAAATTTGAAGTATTGGGGTAAATTGTCCAAGCCCATGAGTTTTTATTTAGTATGGTGATTCCTGTTAGGAATCCTGTAATCCGTAGATGTTTCGTCTGCTAGAGTTAATTGTTTATATTTTGAGAAACTCCCGTGTGCTAACATAGTACAGTTGTTCAGAAATGTTACAGAACCTTTTACCGTTTACATTAAGTCTGCTCTAGCAGACGCAACTTTATTATGACCATTATATTAGGTAATACAGTGCTAATTCTTAACATAAGAAATTTCATATTCGTCACATAAAAGTTGGTGACTGAAGTTCAAAAGTAGAGTTAAAGTCGAGTTGAAGTTTAGTTTTGAAATTCAGGTTTTTACCCTGACTTGGTTAAAATTGGGATTCAAAAAGTCTAGTTTAAGTCGAGCTTTTTCACCCAGATTTCATCCAGTTGGTGACTGGAATTCAAAAGTGGAGTTTAAGTCGAGTTGAAGTGGAGTTTTGAAGTGGAGTTTAGGACAACTAGTTATCATCTAGTTGTATCATCCAGTTGTGTTTCCTGGGATGTTTCGTTTTCCTACTAAATGTTTCGAGTACTTCTTTCTGTCCGCATTTGGGGTTTATTATCAATAATTAATGACATTGTTCTAAATTGCAGAACAATTAAACTTAAGATTTAAATCTCTCAAGAACAAAATAATGTTTATTGTTGAAAGAAATCTACATGTTAATTCAATGTACGATCCGAAGTTTGTACTGCCAGTGAATTTCTTCTGAAACCTTTCGGGCTTTAATACTCATCTATTTAGATCTTCCAACATTCCCTTTAATACTCGTCTATTTAGATCTTCCAACATTCCCTTTACTACTCATCTATTTAGATCTTCCAACATTCCCTCTAATACTCATTTATTTAGATCTTCCAACATTCCCTGTATTACTCATCTATTTAGATCTTCATACATTCCCTTTAATACCCATGTATTTAGATCTTCCAAACATGGTTGTGGAGGCAACAAGAGATCTTCCACAAAAATTCATCAAGGATTGTTTCTCTAATATACTGATAACAGGTAAATCAATAAGCATTCCTCTACATCATGTAAACTAACTGCATTTGTGTACATCACCTAAACTAACTACATTCCTATACATCACGTAAAACTAACTACATTCCTCTACATCATGTGAAACTAACTATACATCTCTCTACATAACGTTAACCAACTACATTCTTCTACATCACGTGAAACTAACTACATTCCTCTACATCACGTGAAACTAACTACATTCCTCTACATCACGTAAACTAACTACATTCCTCTACATCACGTAAAACTAAATACATTCCTCTACATCAAGTAAAACTAACTAGGTTCCTCTACATCACGTGAAACTTACTGCATTCCTCTACATCCCGTAAACTAACTACATTCCTCTACATCACGCAAACTAACTACATTCCTCTACATCACGTAAACTAACTACATTCCTCTACATCACGTAAACTAACTACACTCCTCTACATCACGTAAATTAACTACATTCCTCTACATCACGTAAATTTAACTATATTCCTCTACATCACGTAAAACTAACTACATCCCTCTACATCACGTAAAACTAACTACATTCCTCTATATCACGTAAAACTAACTACATTCCTCTACATCACGTAAAACTAACTACATGAACGAAGAGAATTCTGTCTTTCGGATTATTTGCAGACATACTTTAAAATCTCATTTAAAATCCGCCAAGAATAGCGTAAGATACCATATACATTAAAAAAGGTGTAAGGTTAGCCTAACAAAAGAATAAAAATAGTAAACGTTTAATGAAATACAGTCTTTATTATTCTTTGGCTGAAAAATCAACGGATAAATTTAGAAGCTTGTTTAACCAAAAAAAAACAGGAGGAAAAATTTAAGAATCCATTGAATAAAGTTAGATTTCAGAAAGAAATACAAGAATCTTCTTTGATTTAAAGGGAGTGTTCGCGAAAAATGAGAAAGGGGTTTAAGCTTACGTCAAAGGTAATCGATGTTGGTGGCTACTAATCGTACTTCTATCTGTTGCGTTCTTTAGTATAAGTCATTTTTTTAAATTTCTCCTTATAGATGCAACAGATAGAAGTAAGATTTGTAGCAATCACCATCGAATATTTTAGACGTAAGCCTGTACCCACTTTCATTTTTCGCAAGCACTCCCTTTAAAGGCCAAAGAGCACTACTGTTTTTAATAAAATGCGCAACTCTTTAACTGAAGCGTTTCTTGAAAGTACGTCCACAGTCTCTTTAATTTATTTACTACTCCCAGGTGGGAATAGTGATTTGCAGGGATTCCTCCCCCGACTGTCCAGTGATCTTAGAGAGAGAATTCCGGAACATTCAGCGCTCATCAATGTTTCAACATTTCCAGCTGGTAAAGGAATTGAACTTGTTTAGCATAATTGTGTATCTGCCAGTGCTTAGGATCCGGATCCGTTGGATCCGCAAGATTTTGGCTTCCTGGATCCGGATCCGCAAATATATGCGGATCCACTGATTCGGATCCAAGGGGTAAAATTTCAACCAAAAACTGCAGAAAAAAACTTTTTTACTCCTAAAACCAAAATCTGAACTTTTGAAAAAAGAGAGATTATAAAAATTTCATGGTTCATAAAGTGTTGGTATAAAAATATCCGGAAAAAAATAAAACAAAATTTGAAAAACTTTTTTTGTTAAAAAAAATCAGTAAATCTTAAGAAAGTGACCTGGATCCGGATCAAATTTTTTTTCAGTGCGGATCCAGGATCCGGGTCCGGATCTGCATCAAAATTAAATGGATCCTAAGCACTGGTATCTGCCATACATTGTATCATAGGTCCATAAAACCTGTCTGAAGCCCATACAAACTGTCTTTCTCAAAGAGTATGGAATGTAAAGAAGATATAACTGACACGGCCCGCCCGACCATATGATTATTACATGCTTTGCAGATAATACTCAATTTATATAAGAAATATTTGTCTGATGTACAATTACTGCGTATACAATAACCTATTCTGAATATTTCTTATACAAATGGAGTACCCGTCTGCAAAGCATGTATAATCATATGGTAGGGCGGGCCACGGCAGTTGTATCTCCCTTCTATTTCATACTCCTTGGTCTTACTCCATAAAATCTGCCACATTAGTATCCAAATCCACAAACTGAAGTCAACACTGGATACACAATCTCAAGATAAACCCCTGTGCTAGTGCCACGTGATCTTGTCCTTACTGTTTCCTGTTTCTGTGTATCCAAGATTATCAGTTATTAATAGATGGATTACACATTTCATTGCATGTTGTACTCGTACAGAATAAACTTACAATAACATAGGCAAGGTAATATAATTTTTCTAAAACATATTTTGGAACATCATTGCTTTTGGGTTTTATTTTGTGATTTGCAAAAATAAATGATTTTTAGGCAAAAAATTGGGTAAAAATTATCATTATACGGTGAAAATAAACAATTTTGTGTTCCCCCGGAACCCCCAACCACTTTCGTCGTAAAATAAATAAACCTCTGTGAAAACACATTACACAGAAAGTATACCTTTTATCCCACAATGTTTCTGCAGAACAATGTTCGTTATAGCTGGCTAAACGGCTGGACCAAATTGGCTGACACTTTTTAAAGGGAACCCAGGGCCAAAGTGGTGACAAAGGATAACATTTTTTTTGAAATTTTTAAAATTTCACGGTCAAAGCTTGAATCATAGTTTATACCAAGCGCGGGTAAACGGCGGGAGTAACTATTATTATTGATCCCTGTTCAGGAAACCACTCCTGGAATACTGGAATGGGAGCTCATATGATTAAGGTATAGTTTTGTCTGAGTAAAGCATTTAAAAGTTTAAATCTATGCAGTTGGATTATTTGTTGGCATAAACTTTTAATTCATTCTTTAATGAGAATTTTGAGAAAGTATATATAGATAATTCTATTTGTTGCGTCGAATGTGCATGCGTTTAAATGATATTTTTAATTTTTAACTTTCATCCAACCTTTTCCCCGCTTTTAAGTTTTCAAATTTTTATATATCTACTTCTATGGGACGATGGTCGATTGTGTTATTATTTTTTATTTATTTGCTTTACAATAAATAGAAAAGGTTTTGTCAACCAAAGAGTAGCGAAACCAACCAAAGTTATTTCGCATGTATTTTTATTTAGAATCTGAAACCAAAAATCATTTACGGTTGAGTTAAAATTAAAAAAAAATATTTCTATTTTGTTTTACATTTAGGTTCCCCCGCCATATGAAGATATTCTTCAGCTTCACACTCCGGGTACTCCTTTCTGGATGTCAAGAGAAGAATATATTATTTTTGGGACACATCAGCTTCCAGATACCGGGACATTAGAGGAGTTTTGATATCATTTGGACACGTCAGATAACAATTACTGGGACATTAGAGGAGTATTGATATCATTGGGATACTTGAGATACCAGATATTGGGACATTGGAGGAGTTTTGATATCATTGGGATACTTCAGATACCAGCTACTGGGACATTAGATTAATTTTGATATCATTGGGACACATTAAATGCTAGACATTGGGACATTAGAGTAGTTTTGATATCATTGGGACACATCAGATACCAGGTACTGTGACGTTAGAGGAGTTTTGATAGTTTGAAACACAAGAGATACCAGATACTGAGACAAAAGAGGAGTTTTGATAGTTTGGGACACATATGCTACTGGGACATTGATGAGTTTTGATAGTTTGGGACACAACAGCAACCAGTTATGGGACAAAAGAGGAATTAAGATATCATAGGGACACATTAGATACTAGATACTGGGGCATTAGAGAAGTTCTGATATCTCTGGGATACTTCCAATACCAGATACTGGGACATTAGAGGAGTTTTGATAGTTTGGGACATATGAGATACTAGATACTGGGACATTAGAGGAGTTTTGATACCATTGTGGCACATCAGCAACCAGATATTGGGACAAGAGATGAATTATGTTATCATAGGGACACATCAGATACCAGATACTGGACCATTAGAGGAGTTTTGATATCATTGGGACACATCAGATACCAGATACTGGAACATTAGAGGAGTTTTGATTCATTGAGATACATTAGATACCAGGTACTGGGACATTAGAGGAGTTTTAATATCATTTGGACACATCAGATACCAGATACTTGGACAATATAGGAGTTTTGATATCATTTGGACACATCAGATACCAGATACTTGGACATTAGATAAGTTTTGGTAGTTTGAGACAAATCAGATACCAGATACTGGGACATTAGAGGAGTTAAATAGTTTGGGATACATGAGATACTAGATACTGGGACATTAGAGAATAACATCGGGACACATCAGCTACAAGATATTTGAAACATTAGAGGAATTATGATATCATTGGGATTCATCAGTTACAAGAAAGATAAGTTTTGATTATTTGGGACACTTAATACCAAAAACTGGGATATAAGGAAGCAAATATACATCACTGGCCTAAGGTCTTAACACGTTAGCCAACTCTGTTGTCAAAATACCAATGTTGTGCACAATTGTGGCATGATAATAATGATAATAATGATAAAAATATAATAATGATGATAATGATAGTAATAATTATGATGAAAATGATAATATTTATAATAATAATAGATGTTTGGTCACATCTATTGCGTAGACCAACATACTATTATTATATTACTTATGGGTGTTCGGTAGTTTCCCAAAATCAATTTCCCTAAATATGCAACTTCCAAGTCACACTTCTGAGGCGCCGTAGTCTGCAATGAGGGGGGAGGCCCGAGCGCTGTAGCTGGGATGGGCTAGGGGGCCGAGCGCTGCAACTAATATTGGCTATGGGCCGAGCGCTGCGGGGAAGTTGTCACTTAGGCGGCCAGTAAAGAACCTAACATCTTACTTATGCACAACAATGATACAGTGTACATACACTGTATTTACTATGCTTAGTGTAACTGTACCTTTACTCTGTTGTTATTGTTTTACCCTTTTTTGTACAAGAAAGCAAATTGTCTTTTTGTTGTATTTTATGTAAACATAGTTAAATGTTTTCACTGTAAATTTGTAAAATTTCAAAAAAGGAATAAATAAATTGTTAAATATGAATAAAAATTCTTCAGCACAAGTTATGATTTAGGTTTTGTATGGATCAGTAACGTTATGTATACTGTATAGTAAATATATTGTTTAGGTTAATTTTCGTTTAGTATACTGTGTACAGGTAACATTTTTTCTAGGTGACATTTTGTGAAGATAGCATCTTCTATAGGTAAAATTTAGTGTAGATAACATCTTATATAGGTAAAATTTAGTACAGATAATATATTCTTCAGGTAAAATTTAGTGTATATAACATCTTCTATAGGTAAAATTTATTGTAAATAACATATTTTAAAGGTAAAATTTAGTGTAGATAACATATTCTATAGGTAAAATTTAGTGTAGATAACAACTTCTATAGGTAAAATTTAGTAGAGATAACATATTCTTCAGGTAAAATTTAGTGTATATCACATCTAAAGGTAAAATTTTTTGTAGATAACATATTTCATAGGTAAAATTTAGTGTAGATAACATCTACTATAGGTAAAATTTAGTATACAGGGTGTCCCGATAAATAAATAAATGAATTTTTAAATAATTCTTTGATTCAGTATAGTGATACCTGCTGAGAAAGCTGTAATCTGTAAGAGTTTCGTTTGCTGCTATGTTCACATTTTGTTTATTTTTGTTTTGACTGCATATGGTTGTACTAAGTAAAACAAGAAAATTCCAGTAAACAAACAGAGTAAACTTGTCAGTCATCACTGTTCATCTTTCGGACATGTTATAGACACATCTTTTACCATTTTCATAAAAAAAAAACTAGTAGACAATGATATTATGGCTTTTGAAATTAGGTATTACAATACTAATTCATAACAAAGACTAAATCCAATTTGTCACTGAATTCCTATGTTTTTGGGACACCCTGTAGATAACATCTACTATAGATAAAATTTAGTGTAGATAACATATTCTATAAGATAAAATTTAGTGTAGATAACATATTCTATAGGTAAAATTTAGTGTAGATAACATCTTCTATAGGTAAAATTTAATGTAGATAACATCTATAGATAAAATTTAGTGTAAATAACATATTCTATAGGTAAAATTTAATGTAGATAACATATTCTATAGGTAAAATTTAGTGTAAATAACATATTCTATAGATAAAATTTAATGTAGATAACATATTCTATAGGTAAAATTTAATGTAGATAACATCTATAGATAAAATTTAGTGTAAATAACATATTCTATAGGTAAAATTTAGTGTAGATAACATATTCTATAGGTAAAATTTAGTGTAGATAAGATCTTCTATAGGTAAAATTTAATGTAGATAACATCTTTAGATAAAATTCAGTGTAAATAACATATTCTATAGGTAAAATTTAATGTAGATATTATCATTTTGTTAAAAAGCTGAAGTATCAAATAAAAGCTAAACTAATACTGAATATAGTTTCTTTATTACAGATTTATTATTCATTAGATTTCATGTATTCTTGATCAGGCAGGCTGTTAACTTTTCAGGAAGTAATTCAATATTCACTATATGCTAAATGAGTTTAAACTATCCGTATTTAAATTCTGTAAATGTTTTTTGATTCTTATTTACGTTTCTGTAAATTTTGGTAGGCATAAAATAGATTTGATATTTTTAATGAAATTAATTTTGAGTGTAATTACCGTTAGTTCGTTAATTAGTGCGATCTACTTAATACTTCTATAAAGTTTATAAGATTAAATTGTGGACTAGAGACAGGGGGGCTGGATCTTAGCTACCTCTCCGTGTGCATTGGCCTGAGTGTACACTTGGGATAGTTTACTGATAAAGGATGTTAAGAGGACAAGTGTATGGGGCGGTTTTGTATCTTTAAATTAGTAAATTAAAGCGTACATTTATCACTCTATATATAGCCTCTATATATACATATATATATATATGACTAGATAGCAGAAAAAATGTAATGCAAATCCACTTTTTGGAAATCATGATCTATCCTATTAAATTAAAAGAACAATTACATTGTTGGATGGTTTTGAATTAGGAATGATATATTTTCCTGAGAAATGAATTTTATTGACGCACAAATCCTTCAGAGAAATGGAGAAGTTATGAACATTGAACATCTCCATTATACGTACTTTATAAACAGGAGATTTATAAACATTTTCTTTAGGAAGTAATACATAAGGGATATTGGACAGTTTCTTAAGAAAGTTGGGCATTATTAAACATTCAGACGGTTGTGAACATTTCTAAGAATGGAGTCGTTTATAAACATCTAGCTTTGAACGTGTATTGAAGCAAGGAAATTCCTGAACATTTCTTTCAGCTGTAAGTATGGAGCTGCATTTAATGAGCCCTATTTGAATGGAGAAAAGCTGCAAAATAAACTGTAAAAAATTACATCAAGTTTATTTCAATAAATCTAAGATTTTTGCATTTATTTCCGAGATATTAAATTCAACCATTTTATAAATTTAAAGAGGTTCTGTTCTATATCTCAAACTTTGAACAGGAACCCAAGACAAAAGTTTAAGTGATCCTGAATTTTAAAGGTTTTCATGCCAACGTAACTTAATTTTAAAAGTTGTCATGCCAGCTTAACTTAATTTTAAAAGTTTTCATGCCAGCTTATTCACGGTATCATTTGACCTAAATTGGATTAACAATTAAATTTTCTAACCAGCATAGTTATGTAATTATAGACTACTGTAGACTACAATTTAAAGTAATGCATTTTCAGTGTGAAACACAATGATAAATCCATCCTTTTTTGGTTATCAATGGGTCTTTGTGAATGCCTCTCTTTAAAAAAAGGGTCACTAGAAATTACGTCGTCTACTGCAAGGTTAAAATGCAAGGAAAGTTATTTCATAGGTATGCACATCTTTTGTATTGCAGTGTACTGTCTCTGGTTGGTAATGTAAAAACATAAGACGGATATCGAAGCCTGACATGGGATCCATCTTTCACTTTAAAAATCAATGAAATATTTTGGTCATAGGAAACTGTTCTGTGAATTATCAAAATTTAATGCTTTTAACCACCTCAGATACTGAACGAACACTGATGCATCTATTCTTGTTTAGAAATTCCGCTTAGAGAGAACTGGTTTCAATTTGTACACAGAGTATACGCAACTGCAATTAACTCTCCTTGCATTGTAACCTTGATCTACAGTCTTTTATAAGTAAACTGACATGAATAGAAACCTATATTGAGAACCATTAATAGTTTGGTGCCTTCGGTTCGGTTCTTCTTTTAATTGTAACATTTCTCAAGATTTTGTAATTTTGTGATTTTGAAACCATGCTCGGGGAAACTCATATCCAAATAGATTATCAAGTACATCAGGTGGCAACAGAGAAATAAATCAATTATACACGACGTCACAAGTATCAAAAACGAAATTGTCTCACATTAGTTGACATGCTTTCCAAGATTAAATCAAAAAGTGTAAAAATAGAAAATAAAGAACTTCGTAAGATTGCACTTATGTTACTGTAAGATAAGTACTATATTCTAAAATTATCACTACTATTAATAATTTTGTCAGACACAAAAACTGAGTTGACACTTGTGACGTCAGAATACAGCTATACTAATAGTCAAAAAATTCTATGTTGCCATCTATTGTACTAGAATCTATTTAAATATATCTATAGATTAGTTGGAATCTTGCTATATTTTACAAGAAAATAATTGATAATCATTTCACTGATGTCTTAGATGATCCTTAATTGCTGATTTAAGCTTTTTCTGATGTAATAAACCATCCTTACAGTGTACACTGTACCTAATCCTGTCAGTGTACATTCAGCTTTCAGAGAAGTAACATCAGCTAGGGCTTGATAAGCGTTTCTTAACCCTATTCCTGCTGTGGGGGGTCAATTTGACCCCCCCTGTAGTTTTTTTTTACATAACTCAAAAAGTCTGAGGCTGTTGAAATTCAAATTGACCTAGCTAGCTAGCTAGCTGGATCCAGATTTTGGTACTGACAGCTGTAAATATACTCCTCAATTTTAAGCCCGGTTTGCTGTTATTACCTGAACATAAATTCCTTCTATTGAATCTGGTTCTATGTGTAAGCATCAAGGAAGCTCAGAACAGTCAGGTTCTCTCAAGTTTCTTGCAGCTGAACTGAACCCTGTGTGGAAACACCCTACTTGGTAAAAAAAGAAAATAATAGTGCAGAGAAGTAGGGGGTTTTCTTTGCTTCTCTTCCCCCTACCTCTTGCCAGAAATAAGGAAAATGAAGACATATAAAGTAGAATCCTGGTGCACCATGCACTATGATACTGGTTTAAACTCTGCTGGCTGCAAGGAAAAGATTGCTGTAGAAGAGGCCATATTCTGAAGCACTATCTGAGATGAACTTACAAGAATCAAGAATTCTTTTTATCGAAAATGTCCACTACTTTCCTAACTTTTCTTATCCCATTTGTCATTATTAAGGCAGAATTCTGACAAATCTATATTCTCAGATTTTTCAAACCTCTATTGTAGTAAATGCCCTACTCCACTAAATAGCTTTAGATCTGTACCAATCCAGGTATAGCCTTCCAGTGTCTCAGATATCTGTTTTACAAGATGTAACTCAATCTCAAACTCAAGGTTCCTCAATAATACCTTAGTCAATTATCAATCTGGATATGACTATCTGTATTCTCAGGTATCTGTTTCACAAGATACAACTAGATCTGAAACTCAAGGTTCCTCAATAATACCTTAGTCAATTATCAATCTGGATATGACTATCTGTAATCTCAGGTATCTGTTTCACAAGATACAACTCTATCTCAAACTCAAGGTTTCGCAATAATACACTAGGCAATATCAATCAGGATATGACTCTATCTGTATTCTTAGGAATCTATTTTGCAAGATATAACTTAATCTTGAATCAAAGGTCTCTCATTTTTGCTAAGAACGAGGAAACAGCATATTTTCACACCATAATCAAAGCGGAGTGTTATTCCAACTAAAGTGTATTTGGGTTATATAATACAAGTTAAGTTAATCAACATAATTTCAAGGTTTACGTAGTTATTTACAAACGCAATTAAGCTATACAGGTTTTACATAGTTGTTTACAGCGTAGTTAAGATACATCATGATACAAATTTTACATAGTTATTTACAAACGTAGATAATGAATAATGTACAGCATAGTTCTGGTTTATAGATATAGCATTACAACGATATTCATTACACGCTTAGCAGTAATTTTTATTTTTCCAACCTAAGAATAAATAGATATGAACAATAGCATCTGCATCATCATTCCTCAATATAACTTGTCAGAGAAAGTTGACACCTCTGCATGGAAAACAAATAATAACATGCGTAATATTGGTAGGGTTTCCACAAAACAGTCAATTCTCTTGCGCAACAACAAATTTATATTTTAATTCCTTGTCTACAACTGGGATTAGAATGCGTAGATCTAAAAGAGAGGAGCAGAAGACAAATGTATGATCAGCTAAAAAGAAGATAAAAAGTCAGAGAAAAAATAAACTGCATGTTTTTAAAATTTTGTTAAAAAAAAATATCTTTACTTGTACAGTGTTCATACTACATATAGAATAGTTTAAACAAACAAAAAAGATTATGTTTTGAGAATTCTGAGAATTTTGATGAAATAAAAGATGACAACAAAATCCGATACCCATAAACCTGGTGATTGTTGAATAGGAAGACGACATTTCATCAATATTATGTTTTTTTATGTTGTACAAACCAGTAGCTTGATTTTTATGTCCATATTGGACTAAATAAGATTGCATAACTTGAACATCTCTCTATTCCACTGGTTTCTGAACCACACTATACAGAGTTACCCTCTCATAGGATTAGACAGCAGACATGATTGTACGGAATCAACACTGATACAGCGTTTACACAGTTCAAGTACAGATTAAACTAGAGTTACTCTCATAGGATCAGACAGCAGACATGATTGTACGGAATCAACACTGATACAGCGTTTACACAGTCTATCACTTGGGGAAATATTTCACTTGGGGAAAATATGTCACTTGGGGAAAATATATCACTTGGGAAAAATATATCACTTGGGAAAATATATCACTTGGGAAAAATATATCACTTGGGAAAATATGTCACTTGGGGAAAATATGTCACTTGGGGAAAATATATCACTTGGGAAAAATATATCACTTGGGAAAAATATATCACTTGGGAAAATATGTCACTTGGGGGAAATTCTTTTTACATTATAATCAACATAAATTTTAACACTCGTAAACTTTTTTACATTTAGTAATCTCTCCTTTTTCATTTAACTCTAGTGTTTTGATAGGCTCTAAATCTTAAATTCATGAGAGTTATGAGCTCCGAAAACATTGAAAACTCTTAAATGTACTCTTTCGACGATAATAGCTAGGCCCTGGATCATTGAGCAATATGTTCTTCTAAGTTCCTTGGGATTCTTCTGTTTCATCAAATGCCAGGGCCCAAGGATTTTGCTAAAAACACAAAAAAATATTCTTAAGGTTTTCTGTGTCTGGAAAATAATAAAACAGAAATATCCGCAAAAATCATTGTTTTTCGGAGAACATTGAAAAAAATGGCGGCTCGATAAACAACATTTAAAAATATATATTTGTTACAATATTCCAGGGGCTCATTATTTTACTTTTAAGTCCAATATCTTTTGAGTTTTAATCACAAAATTTCTAATTAAAATATTATCTAATACAATCCCGCTGTGCGAAGGTGCATTTAATCTAACTTGTAACTCTATTGGCTCACTGTGCTGGGTTTAAAAGATTATATTTTGACAGGATTTTAGCAGGTGTGCAATGTGCATAATATTCTGCTGAAAACACACACTTCAAGCAAATTTTTCAAAAAGCGTTTTCATTTCAAACATTTGAATTTTCAGTCCTTGAAACTATTCCTTGAAATTATTTTGATTCTTGGATTAACAATGTCTTATTCCAAATATTATATAATATTCTTATTAACCGGCCCTTCCACGATTGTGTGTGGGGGGGGGGAGTGTATTCAACTACCCTCCGTTTTTCTAAATAACTTAAAAGCGGCTGACATTAAAACGCTAAAACTTTTTTACTTTGCAAAAAAATTATTTTGTTATGCATAGTGTCTGTTTAGGGTGGAGGACATTCAAACGGCGGGTCATTGTTACAAAAAAAAACATAAATGGCTAATAACTTTTTTATTAATTGGGCTACGGGGCTAACATTTAGAGATTCAAGATAAATATCCTCAGTTTTTCTAAAAATAACATTGATGTTACAGAAAATAACATTATTACGACAGCTTTTTAGCATTCCAATGTTCAAGGATTGAACATATTTCCTCAGAAAATTGTAAATAAAGAATTTCGCAATCATAATTATTATTTTCTCCCTCTGTTATACAGGGTGTCCCAAAAAACATGGGAATTCAGTGACGAATTCAATATCGTCTTTGTTATGAATAGCATTGTAATACCTAATTTGAAAAGCAATAATATTATTTATGTCTGCTAGAGTTTATTTTATGAAAACGGTAAATGACTGTAAAGATGTGTCTATAATGTCTCCGCACGATGAACAGTGAAGACGGACAAGTTTACTCTGTTTGTATACTGCAATTTTCTTGTTATACCAAGTACAACCGTATGCAGTCAAAACATAAACAAACAAATTGTAAACATAGCAGACGAAACTCTTACAGATTACAGCTTTCGCATTAGGTATCACTATAATAATTCAAAGAATTATTTTAAAAGACGATATCGAATTCGTCACTGAATTCCCATGTTTTTTGGGACACCCTGTACAAAAGTGCGGATTTAATCACCACAGAAAAAAGAATGAAATTTATAGAACTCAATATGTTTTAAGATAGAAAATCGAGAATATCTTCTTTAATGTTGGTCAAGTAAAGGTGAAAAATCTTACTTGTATGCCATGTTTCTTATCCAGTTGACATGTCGTGCTTCTACAAAATGGCTGCGATGTCGATCCAAGTCCTGAGCCACGTGACGGCAATCCTAACAAATTTCCGCCATTTTGAATTCTTGACAAACATTGGCGCCATTTTGCGTCACACACTAAATAGGCTGAAGTGGCTGTTCCAAAAGACTTTTTAGGTTCTTTAAAAGGGTTTGTTTTCTGGAAAATTGTTGAAAATGGATGAATTTTGCTTAAGTCAAAGATTTTTCTAGAGTTGGTCTTTAAGCATTAGGCAACCATTTAACGTTAAAATTATTTTCTCAGACTGACAGTTTTAAGATAAATTTACAGTTTTTTTTTGCTTCAACAACTTTTAAGTTTTAAGGATGCGTATGGGACATTCAATGTAATGTTTTACCTTGCAAACAACAAGCCTATCAACCCAACTGAACCTTCGAATTAATCGTTCCTCCATGAAGCGTTAGCTTTACCCAGTAAACCTGGTGACGTCAGCTTTAATATAGAAAAGATCTAAAAATTATGTATTCTTGTTTTTTTTAAGTTTTACAAATAAAACAAAGCAAAACCTAATGTAAAGTATTTTCTATTAATTCTCTTGAACTCTGTTAAAACAGGCTTTATTTTAACTAACGTAGACCTTCATAACCTGTAGTAGGACTCATACAAAAGTGGAATTTAAAATATTTAAAGAAATTAAAATTAAAACAAAAATCTAATTTTTTAAGCCTCTGACTACACATGGGTTCCCTCAAATAATTTCAGCCAATTTGTTCCAGCCATTGTGCCAGGTATAACTAACACACATATATAAATATATATATATATTATATATATATATATATATATATATATATATATAAGGGCGAAAAGCTTTATTATACAGAACACATTGTATACAGAAGTCTTTATTCCACTTTTTGTTTATTCCTTTGCACTCTCTGTTTTAATATTAATGGTGTCCTGTAGACGGATATATGAATGGTGTCCTGTAGACAAATGTATGAATAGTGTACACGGATATATGAATGGTGTCCTTACACGAATGTATGAATAGTGTCCTGTAGACGAATGTATGAATGGTGTCCTGTAGACGGTTATATGAATGATGTCCTGTAGACGGATACATGAATGGTGTCCTGTACACGGATATATAAATGCTGTCCTGTACACAAATATATGAATGGTGTCCTGTAGACGGATATATGAATGGTGTCCTGTAGACAAATGTATGAATGATGTCCTGTAGACGGATATTTGAATGCTGTCCTGTAGACGGATATATTAATGCTGTCCTGTAGACGAATATATGAATTCTGTCCTGCAGACGAATATATGAATAGTGTCCTGTAGACGAATGAATGAATAGTGACCTGTAGACGGATATATGAATGGTGTCCTGTAGACGAATATATGAATGCTGTTCTGTAGACGGACATATGAAAGCTGTCCTGCAGACGATTATATGAATAGTGTCCTGTAGACGAAATTATGAATAGTGTCCTGTAGACGGATATATGAATGGTGTCCTGTAGACGGATATATGAATGGTGTCCTGTAGACGGATCTATGAATGGTGTCCTGTAGACGGATATATGAATGGTGTCCTGTACACAGATACATGAATGGTGTCCTGTACACGGATATATGAATGGTGTCCTGTACACGGATATATGAATGCTGTCCTGTAGACGGATATATGAATGTTGTCCTGCAGGCGAATATATGAATAGTGTCCTGTAGACGGGAGAAAGTCAGATAGCAAACTGAAGAGGCGCCGTCTCAGGAATTTAATGTTTTGAAATATTCAAATCACGTGACACTTTTAGTTATATGCAATATCTTGGTTCGTATTTCTAGAACTAGAGGCATTACAAAATTATTGTAAATTAAGCAAAGAAATTCTCCTGTTAGAAAATGGACGGGCAAAATTTAGACAATCAAAACAAGCCTTTTAGTTCAATTTTTGCATATATCTTCTCTCTCGGGGTCAATATTTATCATAGTGTACGTAAACCAATAATTAAGAATAAAAAAATAATTATATTGTTAAGATTCGGTTCGGCACTTAAAATGAACCGGAACTTACAGTCCAACAGTTTAAAAGTTTTTTCACAAAGATTATTGAATGGTGGATGTAAAGAATAGATGTTTGTATCTGGCTGTAGGTCCAATCAAATCTCATGGACCCCATGACCGATTTACCTAAAATTTGGATTTGGGAACTCGGTATGAACCACGAGAAGATGCTTGGCTTGACTTTCCAGAGCAAGTTTAGAATTATCTAAGGTTTACACCTTCAAGTTACAAAGATATAAGGATTAGAAAATATAAAATTTGTGTTTATAACTCATTTCCTTTACAATTTTTGCATGAATTTGCATTGCTGGAAATAAAATTTTTTATTTTTTTCACCTTTACCTTTTACTCTATCAATAACACAGTTTTTTAACAACCACCACGGTCAGAGGCAAAAAAATTTGCCAAAAAAATATTTTTGTGCATTGGGTGTTTGCAATTTGGCGTTTTATTACATTTGACGTTTGTACCGACCCTTGCAAAGAACGAATAGAAGATTGATTATAAAAGAACGAAGATCATGTAATGTGGGTAACCCTGTATATTTATTTATAAAAGAAGAAAGATTATAAATGAACGAAGATCATGTTATGTGGGTAACCCTGTATATTTATGTTTGTTATCCTAAATATAATTGATTGTCCAGGTCGCCAAACTAATCAGAACTTTGGAAACAAAACTTTTATTTATCAAGGATAAAACAATACCTTACAAATATCTGATTATCAACCCCCCCCCCCCAAAGCTAGCGTTTATGTTTCAACCCCATG